AATAGAAAACACAGTATACCCTAAGATATAAATACCATTATATTCGGGCTGCAAGCCACAAGGTCAGCAGTTCGAAACTACCAGCTGTTCCGCAGGAGAAAGATGAGGTTTTCTGCTCCCGTAAAGATTTATAGCCTCGGAAACCCTGTACAGGGTCACTATAAGTCGACTCCACGGAACATAACAACAACAACATATTTTGGAAAACAAAGATTACAGTGACATAATCAAGAATGTATAAACTTAAAAATCTTTTAGACACAAAAATTAATGAATGGTTGTAATTAGTGCAATGAAACAAAAGACGATTGGTTGAGTGCAAATCGATGTTCTGCCATGTAAATTATCACTGAATTCACAATAAAAGCTTTTAAAAAAAAAATTAATGAATGGATGAATGGATCCAGACATGAAATTGTATATTATTTAGCATTTGATTTGATGTTAGTTACTCATTTTGGTCATAAAACCCCAAGTTTCTATTTTACACAGTTACTATGATTTTTAAATATTTTACTAAATAATGTACAAGTTCCATGTTTAAAGGCTTGAATTAACAACATTTTACTCAGATTTAAACTGCATTACTAAATGCTGAGGAAGAGAAGGCATAAGAAGCAATAAAAAATTCATTAATAAGGAGGTTTAACAGACTTTTTTTCTGAACCTCAGGTGCACAAACTATATTCATAATCCTTTGTTTATGATACACCTTTGTCACTAGTTCTTGTAAGGTCTTCTTCATTTATTATTTGTGTTTAATAATATAATTAACTAGGTATGGTTAGATTTTTTAATTCAAAATTGAAACATTATTGTGCATCCACCAGGAGGCTGTGCCAGAAGGGTCGACCACCACCTTTTTTTTTTTTTTAACTTAACAATATAGCTTGCACAATTTCCTATAAAATTGTGCTAATAATTTCCTAATAAAAATAGAAGACTACAACATCATTTTAATGGTGACATGGTATTCCAAGTTTATACCAAGTAGGCCATAATTTATACTTAACCAATATTGCATAGTAGGATATTTAGATTTTATTTCCTATGTTTCACTAGCATAAATAACTGCTATGCTCAATATAAATTTCATGCAGCTCTAGGTTAGATTACTGGAAGTGGTGTTACTGAGTCAAATACAAGCATATGAGAAAGGCAGTCGGACTAGTGGAGACAAGCATCCCCACAACAAAAGAAATTCTCCTGGGAAGCACCAGAGGTAGAAACACGCAAGGCATTTGTTGACATATATGTTTGGCAGAAGCAACAAAAATTAGATTGGAAGTTTGTATTTAAAGCGATAAACAACAATAAACCACTTGTAGGTTATTAAGAATTTCATGTTTTTAGGAGTCCTTGGTGTGGCACTGTGGGATAAAGCACTGGACCACAAGGTTGGCAGCTGCTCCTCAGAAACTCTGTAACAGAATCGATGTGAGTTGGAACGGTATCAGCTAATCAACTAAATAATTTTAAGTACTTGAACCATTTAACATGTGAAGAGGTGGAAACGGAAACATTGTGTTTTGTTTTGTTTTTAAGTCAGCTATTTATTTCTTTTTACAGGCATTAATTTTACATTTAAAAAATAAGTCATTAAGAATTGAATACAGGATTGTTGTTGTTAAGTGCCATTGAGTCTGTTCTGACAGGTTTCTAAGGAATGGCTGGTGAGTTTTCCTTGTGGTCCAGTGTTTATCCTACAGTACCACACCAGGACTCTGAATGCAGGATAGGATTCATTTCACTACAGGACCAATGTCTATAGAAACAGTTAAAGAAGGCTGTGTGACTATGGCAGGGAGAGGCCTTTGGTTGCATGAAATACAGCACCAACCATGCCTCCCACCGCACTCTCTACTCATCTGGGTTCAATAATTATTTGCAGTGTCACACAAAACTTAGAGATACCACTCACAATTATGGGGCTTCTTAGGGAAGTTAATAGGCTACAACGCAGGGTCAAAAAATGCTCAGGATACATTTTTGGTAAGAACAGCTTCTCTGCATGCCCGTAGACAGGTCTCCCTCTGGCCCTTGGCCTGGCCTCTGTCCTGCTCAGGCAGTGTTATAAAGCTCTTTTAGTACTGCTGATAAATGCTCAAAGGGTACTCTATTCCACTACAAGCCTCAGCCAGAAGGTACTCATATCTAGTTTGTGTGTGAGCAAACCTACCTCCCTGTGTAAGTGCCTAGAGGCATCCCACTCTGCGAAGAGCTGCCAGCCTCAAACATTCAGCTTAACTTGTTCTGTGAGCCAGGCAGTCCACCCTTCTGTCTCTCGCACTGGCCCTAGGTTCTGCTGCTCCTCCTCCGGTGTCACAAATTTCTGTCCCTGGGTTAAGGAGGTTCAATGCACACGGATCTCAGGGTCCATAGGACTTGCTCCATGGATTATTCTTCTTTGATGATAATAAAACACCCCTTCTGCTTTGGGCATGATTCATTTTATAGCCAGCAGCACGGCAAATTGGACCAAATACAATTAGCCCAGTTGACAATGACTCACAACTTAATCATTTAATCCATCAGCATCCACCCCTATTTTCTCTTACCCAGATCCATCAGGAAAAAGTTGTTTGGTGGGCGTTTACAAAGACTATGGCTAGAAGAGACATTAAATAATTCACTGCACCACAGGCTGTACCCCTAATCAGTACTGAGATAAGGAAATACATTTTTGTCATCCACGATGACATTTTTGTTCTCAAGTCCTAATACATGCTGCTGAAAACAATGTGAGAAAACCACAATAATGAAGTAGATTCAGATTAACGAGCTTATATTATTATCGTTAAAAGAAATAGCTGAAAGTGTACATTGTGTTTCTATTTATCCATTTGGAATTTCTAAATGAAAATTAGAGGCCCTACATAGGACTGCAAAGTTGGTTTGAACCACAAGGTCCGTAGTTCAAACTCACCAGCTTCTCCTCAGAAACCCTGTACAGGGTGGCTATGAGTTGGAAACAACTCAATGGCATTTAACAACAACAACACAGGATATAAGAAAGGTTGGTATTTTGAACTCACCTGCAGCTTCACAGGAGAAAGCTGTAGAAGTCTGCTTCCATAAAGATTTATAGTCTTAGAAACTCTATGGGGCAGTACTATTCTATTCTATAAAGTCCCCATAAGTTCAAATCAACCAGACAGAAACAGGTTTGGTTTGGGTATTTTCAGTAACTTTATTGTGAACTAGGTGAAGGTTTACACAGCATATCATTTTTCCATTCTAAAATTCATACATATTTTGATTGACATCACTGATTATAAGCCCCGCAACGTTACATCACTCTCTTAGGCTGGTTTTCTAGAGACGCAAAACCAGTGAACCATATGGGGGTAGTTGTTATGTGCCATGGAGTCAGTTCCAACTCACACCGACCCCGTAGAGGGTTTCAGAGGCTGTAAATCTTTATGCCATTAAGTCGTTTCTGACTCATAGCAATCCTGTGTAGGGTTTCTGAGGAGCAGTCGGTGGATGAAGTGCCAACCTTCCGGTTCAAACTGACCTTGATGTCAAGTGTTTATCCTATGGCACATCAGGACTCCTTATACAGAGAGATAAGTTATTATTAAGGAAATGGCTTGCAATTACAGAATCCCAGGTCCCCAGTAGAAGAGACTCCCTCCTGCATGTCTTGTATTGGGAGCAGGCCACACCCCAAAGGAAGCATCCCTTTAATTGACTGGCTGCTCATAGCCACTCATCAGAGTTAACTATGCCTGGATTAGGTTTCACCATCATGGGAGTATGTACATAAACACATCCCAACTGCCAAACTTTTGAAAATCCTGGCCTACTCAAGTTGCCAAAAAACTCTAATCATTACAATCACTTATTCCACTTCCTCTCCATGTATTCCATTTCCATTCCTCCTTTTTCCTAACCCTTCTGAATTTATTTAGTCCTTGGGTAAATGCTGCCCTTTAAATCGTTAATTATTCTAAGGAGTGTATACCTCCCAGGGGTTATTGTTCCCCTTGTAGACCTGCCTATTGTCTGGCAGAAAATTAAGTCATAAGGTGAATTCAGTTCCAGACTTAAAAGGGTGGCTAAGGGCCATAGTCTTGGGGTTCAACCAGTAAGCTTGGCCTTTGGGAGTTCGGGCTAGGTGCTGAAGTGCAGCTCAGGCTTAGACCTTTGCTCTGGGCACGAGATCACTTGCCCCAGTCCCCCACTTTCAGCCTGGGAAAGGATCCCAAGATGTGGCAAGTTCCTGCCATGGACTCAGCTCAGTTAATAATAAACCCAGAGAAGAGGGTGGAGGCACGCAAGTGCACATTCTGGACCCGAGGGACGTGGCAGGGATGCCCTGCAGGGACACACAATTTAGGGAATGTCTGCAAATAGTAAGGTTCCAAGGGGGCACACGGAACCGGAAAGACTTGTAGAGGCCAACCAGTGCATTAGGGAACGTCTGCAAAGACCACAGAGAAGACAGGGATCATCTAAAAATTTGCTGGAGCGGCTAGGGGCTGTCTAGAAAGGGCAGTCCCCTAAAAACGAGGCCTGTGGTCCACATCTGTAACTTGAAGATACCCCAAAACTGTAAGGAAATAAAGTTCGTGATTAGGGTAGAAGTGAATGAAGCTGCCGTCCGCGAAAAGAGCATGACTTAAAGAGTGTGGAGCTATAGGGACGTTAGGAACAGACAGCAAATTGTATCCCTTGCTAAACACCTCTCGGTAGCGAATCACCAACTATTTCTTTTGTAAGACCCGCCTCTCTGCCATTAAGTCTTGTTCAGTAGTCCCAGACCTAGGAATCAGCTGGTTTCCCACTTAATTCCCTCCTCCCAGCAGGAGCAAACGCCCTTCCTCAGTCAGGCACTTTATTCTCCCTTCGATCCCCTCAAGCGCTTTCTCCCGCCCACCTGTCAATCATCGCTCTCTGTTGTCCAGTTAGTAGACCTGAGGGGCGGGATCGTCAGGGGCGCCGCATGACGTAGTGTTCCGCCGGCCGGCCAGGAAGCCGGGAGTCTTGTGACGAAAGAAGCGCGTGACGGAGGAGCGGTTGGCTATGCTACGGCGGCAATCGGTGTAAACAACGGTCCGCACCGCCGCGTCCGGCAACTGTTCCTGGCTGGTGGGTGGTCTAACGCGAGCCAATAACCGCCGGCTTCAGCGGGATGTGCTTCCCTACTTCCTCCTTGCCTCTTCCTTTGGGATACACACCCCCGGTATCCCACGTGGGCGTGAGGCAAGGAAGGAGGGGTGGTAGGTTGAATTCTAACCTCATTGGTTGTCACTGCTGCCGGCTCTCGCAAGAGAGCGCTTTGATTGGTCGATAAGGGGGGCGTCGTGGGGTCTCTGAGTCCTCAGGCTTCTGATTGGTTCGATGAGGTAAGCTAGTGAGACGCTTTCTTCCGCGGGGGGTTTTGATTGGTGGGCCATAGAGGTTACCAGAGATTCCACCTCCCCCCAGGGACTTTGATAGGAGAGTTTGGGGTAGAAAACTGAGAAATTCCTCTTCAAAGGACTTCCACTGGCAACTTAGGGTAGGGACCTAGGCTTCACTTTGCTTTCTTTACTTCGCAGGACTGAAGAAGGTTTGTGTTCCTGAAGCCTTGGGAGTTGTCACTGGCAAAGAGGGGATCTCAGACCCTAGAAGGGTTAACTCTCCAGGAGTTAGCTACAGCCCAATCTCTGGAGATACTGTTATTTTTAGAGCAGGATTTGCTTTCACTAAACCTAAGAAGTTGACAGGAAGAGTCCCTGCACAGGTCCTAAGGATGCTGTGAGAAAAGATGGGATCACGGAACAGCAGCAGTGCAGGATCCGGGTCCGGAGACCCCTCTGAGGGCTTGCCTCGAAGAGGGGCTGGCCTACGAAGGAGTGAAGAAGAGGAAGAGGAGGATGAAGATGTGGATCTGGCCCAGGTACTGGCCTATCTCCTCCGCAGGTAACTTACCTTCTGGTGTGTCCCCACCAGGCACCACCACAGTTCCTTGATTTCACCTCTAGGCAGGAAAATTACAGACAGTAGGGAACAGGGTTGGCCCAGGACAATTGTTCTATGTGAACAAAACAGCCTTTCCCTGCTGGGCACCTGCCTCAGTTATCTAGTGCTGCTATAGCAAAAATACAAGTGTGTGGCTTTATCCAATTTATTTTTTTGGTTTAGGAGGCTAGAAGTTTGAATTCAGAGCACCAGCTCTAGGGGAAAGCCTTCTTTGTCAGTCAGGTCTAGAGGAAGGTTCTTGTCTCATCAGTTTCTGCTTCCTGGTTCCTTGGAGATCTCCATGTGTCTTGGAATTTATCTTAGCTTATCTCTCTTAGCATACTGGTTACAAATTGGACTGCTAACCTCAAAGTCAGCAGTTCGAAACTACCAGCTATTCCGCAGGAGAAAGGTGAGGCTTTCTGCTACTGTAAAGATTTACAGCCTCGGAAATCCTGTACAGGGTCGCTATGAGTCGGAACCGACTCCTCGGCACATAACCACCACCACCATTTCTCTTCTGCTTGCTTATTTAATCTTTTTTATATCTTTGTTCTTTAATCTGTTTTATACTCATCTTGTCTCATTAACATAACAAAGACAACGCATTCCCAAATGGGATTATAATCACAAACATTGAGGTTAGGATTTACAACACATATTTTGGGGAACATAATTCAATCCATAACATTCCAACCTTTGGCCTGCACAAAATTCATATTTTTGTTATGTACAAAGCACATTCACACCATCACATTCTCTCAAAAGTTTTAAATCAACTCCTAGACCAAATATCTAATCTTCTGAATCATTTAAATCAAATATGGGTGAGACTTTAGGCAGATTCCATCCTGGGACAAAATTCCTCTTCATCGGTGAACGTATAAAATCTAGAATACAAATTATCCATTTCCAAAGTACAATGGTGGAATAGATAGAAAATAGACATTTCCATTACAAATGGGAGAAATTAGAGGGAAATAAGAAATACTGGACACTAAGCAAGTACAACATAAAACAAACTAGCAGAACATATTATGTTAGCTCTGAAGGATTGAAAATAAGCCTCTCTTCTCTGAGACTATCTGGGCAATGGCCTCACCCTGTGGATCTGGGTGTAGGACCCTTGGCTCTGGGCTTCAGCTCTGAATTTCAGACCCAGTGGTACTTCAGTTCTGTCCCTCAGTTTTAGACAACCTGATACTCCTAGTCCAAGTGACCACCCCAACCCCTCAGCCTTAACAGACTCCATTCTTTTGCTCCTGGGCCTGACAACCCTACCTACTCAGCTTTGGGCAGTGGCCTCATCCCTGCAGCACACCCTAATGGCAGCCCCACACTCCAGAACTCAATTGGCAAAGGTCCAACTCTTTAAAACCTAGTAAGCTATGGCTTTACCCTTTGAGATCCTGACGACTGTGGTCCCACCCTTTGAAACCAAAAAGACCTGTCTCCTGTGCTCCTTTCCCAAGTTCTGCTGATCTCTGAACTGCTCCAAGGGTGATCCATTTCTTTTATTGGAAGACAACAAAAGTAACTCCTTTGCCCTGTTTCCTACCTGTAAAATCCTAAGAGGTAGACAGTGTTCTCTCCCTTTCTTCTTTTTTCTGTTCCCTCACTCTAAGATGATAAATCTTTTGCCATGGAAGTTGGTTAGATCCATTAATCATAGGCTTAATCTTTTTAACAAAATGTTGTGCAGCCATGTCCTTGGTGAAAACCTTAGGATACATATCCCTAGTTTGACAACAGAATTTTCCAAATCTTTAAGTCCTGTTATAATTTTGCACAGTTCAATTTTAAGGCCATCTCTTTGTGCTCAAAGGGAAACCAAGCAACCCCTTTAAGATCTTGCTTAGAAATCTCGTCAGCTATATATCCAAATTCATTGCTTACAAGCTCTACCTTTCACCAAATGAACAAAATTCAAGCAAGTATGTTGCTACTGCATAAAATTCATCACCCTTCCTCCATTGTCCAATCACATGTTCATTGTTTTCTTTTAAAGCCTCATCAAAAGCACATGTAGTGTCTGCATTTGTAGCAGCATTCTGTTGCTAGTACCATATATATTCTCTAAGTTGATAAAGACTTTCTCTGTAGCACTCCTCACTTTTTTCTGAGACCTCATCAAAATTGCCTTTGATGTTCACCATTTTACCAACAGTCTTTTCAAGGCAATCTAGGTTTTTACTGTTGTTAAGTGCCATGAAGTTGATTCCAACTCATAGTAACCCTGTATAGGGTTTCCAAGGAATGGCTGGTGAGTTCAAACCACTGACCTTGCAGTCCTTCACGTTATCCCACAGCACCACACCAGGACTCCAGGTTTTTTATTATCGTTGTTGTTGTTATGTGCCATGGAGTCGGTTCCAACTCATAGCGACCCTGTGCAGGGTTTCTGAGGCACCTTAAAACTCCTCCAGCCTTTACCCATTACCCAATTCCAAATGATTTCCACATTTTGGTTGCCTGTTAGAATAGCACCCTTCTCGTCCAGTGTCAAATTCTGTCTTAGTTTTGTTGGTTTCTGAAGTACCATCGAGTCTGTTCCACTCATTGCAACCCTCCTTTAAATCTTTGCAGTTGTAGAAAGCCTCATCTTTCTCCCGCAGAGCAGCTGATTGGCTTGAACTGCCAACCATGTGGTTGGAGCCACCACGCTCCCCTGTCTAGTGCTACTATAACAAAAACAAAAAGTGGGTAGATTTACCACATTTATTTTCTCGCAATTTATGAGACTGGAAGTTCAAATTCACAGCTCCAGCTCTAGGGGAAACCTTTCTCTGTTAGCTCTAGAGAATGGTCCTTGTCTCTCCAGATTCTGCTTCCTGGTTTCTTGGAGATCTTCAAGCATTTTGGCATCTATCTTAGCTTATGTCTCTTCTGCCTGTTTGTTTAATCTCTTATATCTCAAAAGAGATTGACCCAAGATGTACTCTACACTCATCCTGCCTTCTCAACATAATAACAAGGCCCATTCCCATATGGAATTATAACCAGAGGCAGAGAGTATATAATTTACAACACATATTTTGTTGTTGTTACATGCTGTCCAGTAGGTTCTGCCTCTTAGTGACAGAGTATAGGGTTTCCAAGGAGTGACTGGTAAGTTTGAACCACAGACCTTCTGGTTCAAATTGACCTTTTGGTTCTGTGCTTATCCTATAGCACTGTACATATTTTAGGGGGATATAAGGGAGTCCTGGTGTGGCGCTGTGGGTTAATGCACCAGACTGCAAAAAGCTGTTTGAACTGCAAGGTCAGCAGTTCAAACTCACCAGCTGCTCCTCAGAAACCTTATACAGGGTCGCTATGGGTCGGAACTGACTCGATGGCACTTCACAACAAAGGCGCTCTGGTAACGTAGTGGTTACAAATCAGCCTGAGAACTTCAAGGTCAGCAGTTTGAAACTACCAGCTGTTCCGCTGGAGAAAGATGAGACTTTCTGCTCCTGTAAATATTTACAGCCTCGGAAACCCTGTACAGGGTCACTATGAGTCGGAACCGACTCCACAGCACATAACAACAACAATTCAGCTCCATATCCAGTAAGAATGATTGCCTTGCCTAGGGAGGGTCACCAAGAGGATCCACTCTTGTGTTTGAAGGGTCAGTTCAGGGGAGTCTCTCTGGCTGTTCCTATACAAACTTAATCTGTTTTCTAAGGAAGTAAAAACAATGACCCTGGTGGGAAAGAAGTACAGTGAAGGAGAAGAGTTGAGAATGGGGGAGTTGAACTTTTGTAAAACCATTGACATGTGATATGAGGCCATCTGGGTTTACTTGAAAAACAAGTTTAAATTGATCTACCACTAGCTCTGTTCTTGAGGAAAGAATGGCTTGAAGGGAGTGACCACAAAGAAGTGACAGGAAGGGGATGCAACTGGCTTTGTTTCTTTGTTTATGGTTCCTTGGGGATAAGAAGAACTTGGGGATCTCTTCAAAATACTGAGTTCTATGCTGGATTCCTCAGGCAGAGCCTCACAAGGAATTGATCTCTGAGTTTTTAGCTCTCTGGGCAGTCAGCTTAGTTAGGTCTGTTAACCTCCAGGGTGTATAAGACTTTTCTACTCCTACTCTAAGAATGCGTAGTGGTTACGAATCGGGCTGCGAACCTCAGGGTCAGCAGTTCGAAACTACCAGGTGTTCCACAGGAGAACGGTGAGGCTTTCTGCTCCCATAAAGATTTACAGCCTCAGAAACCCCGTCTGTACAGGGTCCACCAACAACAACACTCTAAGAATGAGAATCCATTTCCTACTGTGCCCTGTGCTGGTGGTGGTTGCGTGCTGTCCAGTTGGTTCCAACTCACAGTGACCTTGTATAGGGTTTCCAAGGTTTTAAATCTTTTTGTGAGCAGAAAACCTCATCTTTTTTCCTGTGAAGCAGCTGATAGATTTGAACTACTGATCTTTTGGTTAGCAGCCCAGTTTGTAATCCACTATGCTGCCAGGGCCCCTTACTATGTCCTATAGGTATCTGATGACAATAGCCAAAGTCTAGTCAGCCTCAAACCCTCAAAACGGAGATGTTCTGAGAGTCAGGTGGTTTAAGAACTGAATTAGCCACTGACTCTAAATTTGGTTGGTTTGGGGGAAGGGGTTCCCCCCTTTATTATGGGGGGTCTCTTCACAGAGGCCAAGTGAGATTGGTGCAGGGTGGAGATGCAGCAAATTTACAACTCATCCAGGCCCTCTCTGACTCAGAGGAAGAACATGACAGTGCCTGGGATGGTCTACTGGGGGACCGATACAACCCACCTGGTAAGCAAACCAAGACCCTAAAGTTGGAAGACCTTCTGTTTGTGTGTGAAGAACCAAACTGAAAGAAGAAAAGGAAATAATTCCGGGAATGAGGGAGTTCTTGCAGCCCCAGTATATTCAGCATCTCTGGGTGGGACCCATCTATCTGCAGTTTGGGTACAGTTATGCTCAGTGTCCTCCGGGGCTAGAAGGCCTAGGATGAAACTTTTCCTTGGTACTCACAGTGGATGCAATCCCTGATACCCGGGATCTGGAATACAATGAGATCAAGACACAAGTAGAATTGGCCACAGGACGCCTGGGGCTTAGACGGGCAGCCCAGGAGCACGGCTTTCCTCAAATGCTGCACCAGGTAGGTTTCTCCACCTCCAACCAGCCGGCCTGCTGAGATAGCCAGAAACTCTGCCAGGCCCAGAGGGACGGGAAATCAAGTTCCCAAGGAAGCCTCAGCTACTTGGGCCAGGGAATACTTGGCTAGCTGCATCTGAGCGCTAGGGAGGCAGAACTCCTATGTATGGTGTCCATTTCTGTAGCAAGAGCATTATCTTTGGAGGAAGGGGCTTGTTATGGCTGAAGGTGCCCTCTGTATCTGATAGCAATATTCACTAATCCCTTCTATTTAGAGAGAACGGGGCCTCTGCCACCAAGGAAGCTTCTCCCTTGGAGAACAGTCTCGAATGATGTCTCAGTGAGTATGGGGCTTGGTGGAGAGACTCTAAGAGCCAGATATGTTTTATCCCCTAAATTTTGAAGGGACAGGTGTGAAAGGATCCTCAGAGATAATGAAGTTAGATTTAATGGGGTTATAGCTTTGACAGTAAACAAAGTGAAAAAGTATGGAAATTTAGAGGATGATGGAATGAATGAAAGAGAAGTGATTGTACCCAAAGCCAAAAGGGAAGAATAACGTGCTGACTTCACATTTCTATTACAATTCTGCTAACTGGGAATCCTAGCTCACCCACATCTCCCCCTTACCCTTTTCATTCCCTCTGCTTTCCTAGCTTCTTGCCCAATGATCTGGGCTTCACTGATACTTACTCTCAGAAGGCTTTCTGTGGCATCTACAGCAAAGATGGTCAGATCTTCATGTCTGCTTGCCAAGGTACCAGACCCTGGTTCCGGAGACTGTCCTTCCCTGGGACTGAGAACATTCCTCCTGACTGAGCTAAGCAACCCCAGACCCAGAGAGCTCAGATCCTGACTTTGAGATGCTTAGCCAGAGCATGGTAAAAGAAAGGTCCCATAGATAGCCCTTAACCACCCTTCCTTAAGATCTGGAACCACTCACCCTGGTGGCCCACTTTTCAGCTAAGCAATAGATAGGTATATAGAAGGAACAACAACACAAGTGAAGTGTGCTCACCATGGAATGGTCAATCATTCAAGATCAAAAGGGCCCAAGTTGAGAAGGGATGGGAGGGAGGGTGGAATGGAAATAAGAACCACAGGAAGGAAGTGGGGAAACTGTTGTTCCATGGAGGGGATTGCAAATCACTGAGATGAAACAAAGTATGTGATTTGTTGAAGTTTGAAAAAAGATCTCACAGATACCCTGAGTGAGAGAGGTCTGATTAAGAAAGGACCCAAGAAGGGTGTTCCCTAATTCTCCCTGATGCCTACTTATACAGACCAGACAATCCGACTGTATGACTGCCGGTATGGCCGCTTTCATAAATTCAAGAGTATCAAGGCCCGAGATGTAGGCTGGAGCATCCTGGATGTGGCCTTCACCCCTGATGGGAACCACTTCCTGTATTCCAGTTGGTCTGATTATAGTGAGTATGCACCAGACGTCCAGTGTCTCTCCAACCTGAAACCTGAGGTCATCATACTTGTGTCTCCTTTGAGCCAGGACTCCATGCCTCATCCTGGGAAGATCACTCCTACCATGCTCTGATCCTTTGTTCCTTTTCTTCCCTTATGTCACTTAGACTCCCCTTTCCCCAGCCTGAATGATTCTTGTTTCTCTTCCCTTAGTTCATATCTGCAACATCTACGGGGAGGGAGACACACACACTGCCCTGGATCTAAGGTACTGGCTTCCCTACTGGGTCATACTCATCAGAAGCTTCTCAAGGAAGGCTCTCCAGGAGCAAACTTCTTGAACTGGCACTCTGGCTTAGAGAGAAAAGTACACTGTTTTCAAGTTTCACTGTGAAATCCTGGGAGGGAGCCACCAATCCTGCCAACCAGAGAACCAGAGTAAAATAAATGGTTGCAGGATAATTTCAGGGTTCTCTCTGAAGTGATCCACATTCCAGCACATGTTGGCAGGACTTCTTTTTTCCCTTCGAATATGCCTTATAATCCTTGTCAGAACCCATGTAGAGTAACAAAATCTAAAGGGAAGCCCACTTACTCAGCTCATTGTTTGTTCTTTTCAGGCCAGATGAGCGTCGCTTTGCTGTCTTCTCCATTGCTGTCTCCTCAGATGGACGAGAAGTGCTAGGAGGGTGAGTATTTGTAGGTTGTGTCTCCCTGAATTAATGAAGTAGGAGTTCTCTCTGGATCAGCTCTACCCCATCAGCTGTGGAGGACAACCAGCCCTTCTCCAAGTTCAAGATTTATGAGTTCTTCACCTCTTGCTCACCATTTCCTCAGCATGAGATGGGAATTCTAAAGCCTCTGTGCAGACACAGCTAATTCTTCTGCCCCTCAGTAGAACTTCTCAACAGGGACTCTCCAGAGCATGCATGACATTACTCCTCTTGGTTCTGGTTTCAAGCCCTCTTGATCATTTCCCTTTTAGGGCCAATAATGGCTGCTTGTATGTCTTTGACCGAGAACAGAACCGGCGCACTCTTCAGGTATTGCTCCTGAGACTTATATCCTCTGCCTCCTGTTTCATGGCTTAGAAAGAGGTCCTAGGTATCCTGCCCTCCTCCTCCCATAGATTGAGTCCCATGAGGACGATGTGAATGCAGTGGCCTTTGCTGACATAAGCTCCCAGATCCTGTTCTCTGGGGGAGATGATGCTATCTGTAAAGTGTGGGATCGACGCACCATGCGGGAAGATGATCCCAAGCCTGTGGGTGCACTGGCTGGACACCAGGATGGCATCACCTTCATTGACAGCAAGGTGGGCAGGGGAGACAGTACTGGGCACAGCCAAGCTACTTATTAAGCTTCCATTTGTCTAGAAGGACATGAAAGTGAACCAGTGTGGGAAGTGGTCAAAGTTTACAAGGGTAGGAAAGGGGCTTAAGCCAGGAAACATGAGATCCACCAGTCCTCAAGGAACAGGGCAGGGCTGTAGATAAGTAGAAGAGAACCTAATCCAGATTAGAATAGGAGGACCAGGCAGTGACCTGGGCAAAGAAAGGAAAACCTCATCAGGGGGTGGTATCTTAGGCAGAAAACCAAAGGTGAACTCACCTGGAAGAAGAAAACAAAGGAGTGATGTTCTTACTCCTCAGCTAGAGAAGGGGAGCCAACTGACAAAACATCAACATTGACAAGCTCTGGTGCTTCATTGTCCATCTTTGGATTCCCAGGGCGATGCCCGGTATCTCATCTCCAACTCCAAAGACCAGACCATCAAGCTCTGGGACATCCGGCGCTTTTCCAGCCAGGAAGGCATGGAAGCCTCACGCCAAGCTGCCACACAGCAAAACTGGGACTACCGCTGGCAGCAGGTGCCTAAAAAAGGTGAGAGTGGAAATGAGACCCTGAGATCTGAATTGTTGAGAGTCCATGTGACATTTCAAATACGTAACCACTGGTAAGGCTTGGCATAGGCACAGTGATGGGGGTTTTGTTTGGAGCTGAGTCCTAGAGGTATCCCTGCCCCATTCCTGCTTGACCAAGTATTAACCCTTTATTTGCTGGACTATGGCAAATGCCAGTAGTCCCCAGGATGGTGAGCAAGAGGTAACTCCAAACCAACCAATTCAGAAATATTTAAATATCTTCAAACAGCAGGACCATACTATGGATTGTTGATGTTGCTGTAGTCAACCTCCAACTCATGACAAACCCAGAGCCCATGGAATTAGACACTTCCTGGTCCTGTGCCACCCATAACCAGTTGCAGATTGGACCATTGTGCCCCTAGGGGGATGTCTTTGGCTGATTTCTGGAAGTATATCACAAGGCCCTTCTTCCTAGTCTATCTTAGTCTGGAAACTCTGCCAAAAACTATTAAGCATCGTAGCACCACCACACAAACCTCCACTGACAAGAGAGGGGTAATGGCTGTATATAAAGTACATTGGCTAGGAATTGAACCTGCATCTCCCACATGGAAGGCAAGGATTCTATCACTGCCCCAGTTGGCTATTTGGAGAGTTGGAAAGACAATTGTCTCTCAGCATTGGTCTTTGCCAAGGACTGGTGGTAGTGGAAAGTTTGAAAACAGACTTCGAACCTAAGGCTGTCCTTGCATCTTCACTCAGCCTGGCTGAAGCTCCCAGGGGACAGTTCCTTGATGACCTACCGGGGCCACGGGGTGCTGCTTACCCTCATCCGCTGCCGGTTTTCCCCCATCCACAGCACTGGACAGCAGTTCATCTACAGTGGCTGCTCCACTGGGAAAGTGGTTGGTAAGGATTGTGTCCAAACAGGGGCCTAAGGAAGGGCAGGAATGTTTCTCTGGCATTCTACTTATAACCACTAGTGACCACCTTTCAAATGGCTAGTGATGACCACAAGTGAAATTTACTTTAGTTTGGAACAGGGAGGCTTAAATGTAGAAATAGAAACATTTTAACAAGAGCAACCAAAGGAGCATGGGATTGTTGTTAAGTGCCGTCAAGTTGGTCCCGACCCCTAGTGACTCTATATACGGTTTCCGAGAAGCGGCTGGTGAGCTTGAACTGCTGATCTTGCAGTTCACACCAACTTTGCAGTCCAGCACATTAACCTGCAGTGCCACACCAGGACTCCGTAGGATTGTAGTCAGCATAATAAATTTAGAACATACTCAGTTCCACTTTGTAGCCAGTCAAGAAATTGAGAGATAGAGGAAACAGAGACAGAAAGAATGATTAAAAAGACATCAGCATGTAGTAAAGGACAGGTAGATGTAGCACAGCCCCTCACACATCTGCAGAGATAACCCATTGTTCACTATTGTCTTCCCTTCCAAAACTTGTGGGCTTTTTAGAGATTTTCTGCTAAAAGCTACTTAGGTTACCACATCTTGGGTTGGGTTCAAACTGCCAACCTTTTCATTAGCAGCAGATTGCTTAACCACTGTTCCACCAGGGTGCCTTTTTTTTTTTTTTTTTTAAACTATTGTTAAATGCTGTTGAGTCAATTCCAAAGAGCAGCTGGTGGGTTTGAACTGCTGACCTTATGGTTCACAGTCAGTGTTAATCCTATAGCACCACACCAGAAGTAACTGTAGGCCCTGTGAAATTTAGCTAAGTGCCTAAGATACCCACTCTTCACTAACTACCCCCTCAACGCAAGGTAGGAAACGGAGACCAGGGAAAAGAAACTGAGAAATACCAGCTCTACGCTGTGGGCTTTGCTCCCTTGGCAAATAGAAAGTTCCCTAAGGAGCAGAGAAGCACTACCACTGCTGTTCAGGGTGAGGAGTGGGTGGCTTCAGGGTCTTCTGACAATCCTGCTCTACTCTGACTTCTCCTGGACAGTGTACGACCTTCTCAGTGGCCACATTGTGAAGAAGCTGACCAACCACAAAGCCTGTGTGCGTGACGTCAGTTGGCACCCTTTTGAGGAGAAGATTGTCAGCAGTTCGGTGAGGTTACAAGGATTTGGGAGGCCAGTGTGTATTGAGGGCTTGGGCCTGGGATGTGCAGCACCCTTTTGACTACTTGCCACCTTCTGCCCTGCAGTGGGACGGGAACCTGCGTCTATGGCAGTACCGCCAGGCTGAGTACTTCCAGGATGACATGCCAGAATCCGAGGAACGCCCCAGTGCCCCTGTCCCAACACCCCACCCCTCTGTAGCCTTTTCCTCTCCCCAGTAGATCTGATCTCCAGCCCCATACATGGATGAGCCTGTTGACAAACTTTCTGCCTCCTCCTCCCTTTCTAAGGGATGTTTGGAGGAATTGCTGGCAATGGACTGAGAGAAACAGAAAGCACAGACTTCTGGATCCCAGCTGAGGCCTGGAGGGGATCCTCCCCTCAGGGCAGAGTAGTCTCTTCTCACGGTACACACACACCATGTTGGGTTGGGTCCCTATCTCTGGCCAGGGTCTGGCAGGACTACCATTATCTGGGGTGTGGGCTCTGCTAACAGGCAAACTGTCCCGTGTTTTTTATCGTGTTGGCTCCTAGAGTAGTTTGCCTGAGGTCAGTTCTGAACTGACCAATCAATGCCTCTTTACCCCTGCCAGGCCCTTTGCCCAAGGCCAATCAGAGCTGGACTTCCTGGCCTTTGTTCTGAGGTCTTGATGACTAGAACTGTAGTTCTTTGGCAAAGAAGGTAAGATGGATAAAGGTGTTTTCTCAGCACCCTCCTTGGGTGGGAATTATGCCTTTCCCCCCATATGTCTGGGTTTTGAGGGTAGAACAGGCTGTGGCATGAGGGACAGGAGCTTCCAAAAGCTTCCTGTGGCCCCACACTGTGCAGCACCGCCTCACCCAGTGTCCCATCATACTAGAGGCCAGCACTAGAGGCCAGGAGGAAGGTTGAGGTAGGACTCCTTTGTCCTTTCACTGGCCTTGGCTCCCTTAATAAACTCCCTGTGGGAACCTGCCTCAGTGTCTGTCTTTCGCTCTTGTTTTCCTATCTGAGGTCTTTTAGCCTCTTACATTAAGAAAACATAGCCCTAACAAAGGCTTCAGGTAAGCTCAATTATGGGAGAAAATAGTGCTTGGATACCACAAGACAGGGAAATACCACAAGGTTGGTGGTTCAAACTAACAGCTGCTCCTTGGGAACCTGTACAGGGTCGCTATGAGTCAGACATGACTCAACTACATGTAACAACCACATAAGTAGACATAAGAAATCAGGGGAGTGAGCACAGTTTAAGTTAAGAGCTCAGGATTGTCCACATTAGCTGTTCTCTGGGACTGACCTTGGAGCGAGTAGAGTCTACAGAAGAGGCAGTAATAACCACAGAGCCAGAAAGAATCTGATTGACATGGTGACAGGCCCCGTTCTGGGTACTTCACACTAAAAAAACCTCATCCACCCTCACAGCGATCCTTTGTACCAATGAGAACACCAAGGTGTAGGAAGGTCAGTGATATACCCCTGTGAAAACTGGTGCTCTGTGGGAGACATTACCCACCTCACCCAGCACCTGTATTAGAGGTGCATTAGACAAAGAGACAAGTTAAAGTGATAGTGCTTCATTAATCAATGTCCTACAAACCACCCATGCTTCTCATTAAGAGATGCATTTTCAATACAATTTTAGTTCGTATCAGAATTTGTAAATGTTTGTTGTGCTATAATACCTTTTGTCCTACCCACAGTTGTAATGAGAATTCAAAAAAAAAAATTTACCTCTTAGGGTCTTATGGACATAGGAAATTTTTAATAATTAAATTTTATATACTTTTCATTTGCAGAGAAGTGTGATAAAGACTTTTAAGCATAAAAACTTATTAGGATCAATTCAGTGGGGGAATTAAAGTGCATATATGATTTCTGATTTAAAATCTGGTAACGTTTTTTAAATGGATGATGGTGAGATACTGAATCACTATATGGAATCACTATATGAATATTTTAGGAGTGATATAGTTTATTTTGAGATTCCAGTATATATAGTACACTGGAAATTGTATCCTTTGTTAACTGTTTTAAATTATAATGAAAATGTTTATGATAATTTTTTAATGTGTAAAGGGATCCATAAGTCTTCAAAATTCTAAGTGTGTACACAAGCAGGAAGGCTTAAAGATCACTATGCCAAAGTTCAGGAACCCTGGTGGAGCAGTGGGTAAGTGCTCAGCTACTAATCAAAAGGCCAGTGGTTTGAATCCACCAGCCATGGCACAGGAGAAAGATGTGGCAGTCTGCTGAAAAGACGTACAGCCTTGGAGGCCCTCTGGAGCACTCCACACTATCCTGTATAGTTGCTAGGAATCTGAATTGATTAAATGGCAACAGGTTTTGGTTTTGTTTTACTTTTTCAGTGCCGAGGTATGGGGTGTTAAAGGTTATGAAAAGAACCTTACTATGTAACCCATCTTGTTCAGTTTACAAATGAGGAAACTGAGGGGAGTTAGTTGATTTTCTCAAAGTCACAGTTGGTCTCAGAACCTGACTATCCTTGCTGGCTCATTGTCTTGCCACATCTATATCATGTGGTTTCCACTGTGCTCTGTAATCCCATTACCAGTTTTGAGGAATAAAAATAGAAGACAAAAAGTGATCTCAAACAGTTACTGAGAAACAGGAACTTCTTGTGTAGGTTGCGTTCTATCCTGCCGTCTCAGCTCCAGAGGCCAGGGCTGGGACACCAAGGCTTATTTATCGGAGACCTCCCTGAGGAGGTTTGAGTTGGATTGGACACAGTGGATTCCAGGCTGGATTTTTCTTCTATGGTCTCCCTCTTGTCCTCGGTCACCTTGAAAGTAAACAATCTTTAGGGCTCTTTGTGGTGAACTTTTGAGCTTCATCAACTTGAACCATCACCATCACCACTCCTTCCTCAGGACACTTGAATTTTATTGCTGACCATAGTAGATATGAATGGTGTTCCTAGAGATGTGCTGCAGACTTGTACATTGCACAATCCCTTTACCCAGCAGCCCTGGGGCCCAACTAACCTCGGAGCCTCTTCAGACTAGACAGGAGCTGGGGCTGGACCATGTCCTGGGGTCACAGTGACTTGAGTGGATACCCCTGCTGATGTGCCTCCCATGGTCTGAGTTGGACACACCACCATGCACAGCAGCCCCTCTAAATGCTTGCAATGGTGGGCTCTTGTGCTCAAAGCCACAGGAGAGGGGCCAGGATCACACTGACAATGAGGCAGATGAAGATTTTTTAAATGACTTCCAAGATTTTCCTAGTTTTCTAGTTATGACCCTTGATTTTTCTGTTAAGCAAACCAACAGTAAAGGGTGGGAGGGGGCCTTTGGCCAACTAAACAATGACAGGCAGGCTTAAGCAGGCTGTGAACAAGGACAGCCATGAACAGCAGGCCTAACTCTTGAGACACAGACATGAACATATTTAGAGCTGAAAACACAGACCTAGAGGTCGTGGGGACACAGGCATAACAGGGAAGGACACAGGCCACTGTCAGGATACACTAACACACATCCAAGGCCTGCTGACGTGACAGCCCTTCACCCCGGCCCCTTACTGCCCCCCGCCCCCTCCTCTGTCTGCCAGCTGCCAACAGGGCTCTGCCCTGTATCTGCCACACCTGTCACTGCTTGTCCTTGTCCGGGTGGGGGGTGGGGTACCAGCCCCTCCTCAACTGCCCAGCAGAGCAAGCAGTTAGTGGGGAGGGGAGGGAACATGGAGCGGGGGCCTGTGGTAGTGTCAGGGGCGGGGGCCCGAATCCAGGCACTGCTCGGCTGCCTGTTGAAGGTCCTGCTCTGGCTGGCCTCGGCCTTGCTGTACTTTGGAAGTGAACAGGCCGCTCACCTCCTGGGCAGTCCCTGCTTACGGCGCCTCTACCATGCCTGGCTAGCCGCAGTGGTCATCTTCGGACCCCTCCTCCAGTTCCATGTCAACTCTCGGACCATTTTCGCCAGCCACGGCAACTTCTTCAACATGTGAGTCCATTCAAGGCCAAGGGAGCCAGTTCCCTGTGTTCTGGGATCCCAGTGCCCTCTTCCAGGTTTCTGTCTTCTTGCCAGTCTGGACACTAAAAATAGGCTCGGAGGTTGAAGGGAAGGTCAGGGGAGGGGGAGAGAGCCAGTGTGGGTCCAGACTCAGGGTGGGAGAGGAAATATGGACCATAGAAAGCTAAGTGGTCTTGGAAGGAGACGATGTTTATAAATGGGTGGGGGTTGTGGAGGGCATGGGAAACAAAACCAGTCATGATGGGACACCAGATGTTAGGACTGGAGACAGAGTATAACTGGGAACACGGGCCATATTGGGGAAACAGGTCTAGGGGAATCTCAATAGCCTCCCTTCTCTACCCACAGAAAATTTGTGAATTCCGCATGGGGCTGGACATGCACTTTCCTCGGGGGATTTGTGTTGCTGGTGGTATTCCTGGCCACACGTCGAGTGGCGGTGACAGCCCGGCACCTGAGCCGGCTGGTGGTGGGAGCAGCGGTATGGCGGGGGGCTGGTAGGGCCTTCCTGCTCATTGAAGATCTGACAGGCTCCTGCTTTGAGCCTCTGCCCCAAGGACTGCTGCTCCATGAGCTGCCTGACCGCCGCAGCTGCCTGGCTGCCGGCCACCAGTGGCGGGGCTACACCGTATCCTCCCATACCTTCCTACTCACTTTCTGCTGCCTGCTTATGGCTGAGGAAGCAGCAGTGTTTGCCAAGTATCTGGCCCATGGGCTGCCTGCCGGTGCCCCCTTGCGTCTCGTCTTCCTGCTCAACGTGCTGCTGCTGGGCCTCTGGAACTTCTTGCTGCTCTGTACCGTCATCTACTTCCACCAATATACTCACAAGGTGGTAGGTGCTGCAGTAGGTACCTTTGCCTGGTACCTCACCTATGGAAGCTGGTATCATCAGGCCTGGTCCCCAGGAAGCCCAGGCCATGGGCTTTTCTCTCGCCCCCGCTCTAGTCGCAAGCATAACTGAAGAAATAAAGGCACACAAGGCCTGGCTTTGGCTCATCTCATCATTTGACTGGGGTCTGGAGAATATAGGAAGAGTAGGGAGATGGACTGGTAGGTAGCGGAGTGGAGTCCTCAGCTGTTCCTTGCTATACCACTGACCTTCAGTACTCTTCCTTTGTTTAATCTCCATCGGCCCTGCCATCCTTTCAGCCTATTCTTTGCAGATGTTAAGCTTTCTGGGGCTGTGATGGTGAGGAATGGTACTGTTAAGAAAGGTAACAATGCCCTTAGGTCATGGGCATCATTCTTGGCTGAGCTGGTGTTCCATGTCCGGTCTAGTTGCTTTCCCTGTCCCTTCCATTCAGTCTCCTCTCCCAACTCCTCATGGCCCTGCCCATCAGGACACGCCATTTAGGGGCCCTTCCTACCCTGTCTTCCTCACAGGAGGTCTGTGTATTCGTTTATTTTACAAATGTTTATTGAGCCAAGCATAGTTCCATACCATGTGGATAAGAAAGATTTCTGCTTTCTTGGGGTATGTGGGCTACTGGGGGGGGGACAAATGATAAATAGACACATAGTAAATGCTGTAGGATAAGCACAGGTCTGCAAGGTTAGTGGTTCAAACTCACCTGCTGCTCCTTGGAAACCCTATACAGGGTAGCTATGAGGCAGAACTGACTTGACAGCACTTAACAATAATAGCAAACACTTGTATTGTGCTAGTCTGTGCCAGGCACTGCTCTAAATAATTTATGTTCTTTATATACACAAATTTAATCCTCACAACAACAGCACTACTACTAAGTAGGTTTAGTTGTGTTCCCACTGTAGAGTAGGCGAAACTGAAGCATAGATGTTAAGTGATTTGTTCACAGCTAGAAAACAAGAGAGCCAGGATTATAAACCCAGACACTATCCAGTCTGTGGCCTAAATCAGAGGTCAGTAAACTACAGCCCACCTGTGGCCAGTTTTTGCCTGACCTACAAGCTAAGAATGGTTTTGACATTTTGAAATGGTAGAAAAGATCAAAAGAAGAAAAATACTTTGACACATGAAAATTACATGAAATTCTAATCTGAGTATCCACAAAGTTTTATTGAAACCCAGTCACACCCATTAATTTATGTATTGTCTGTGGCTGCTTCCCTACTACAAATGGAGAGTAGACTATACAACCCAGAAAGCCTGTGTAGCTCTTTACAGAAAAAAATTTTGCAGACCCCATGTCTCCAAAAATTAACCAGCTAATATCAGATAAAAGAGATCTGGTAGCATAGTGGTTACGAGTTGGGCTGCTAACCTCAAGGTCAGCTAGTTCGAAACTACCAGTGGTTCCTTGGGAGAAAGATGAGGCTTTCTGTTCCCGTAAAGATTTACAGCCTCAGAAACCCTATACAAGGTTGCTATGAGTCGAACTGACTCCACAGCACATAAACACCACATCAATATCAGATCAATGCCACAAAGAAATTAAAACAGGTTTGTAATAGACTGGGAGGCAGGTACTTTACAGTGATCCAGAATTGTCATTGAAAAGGTGACATTTGAGCTGTGAACCTAATGACACTGACAACAGGAACCAGCGGGAGGTATTTCAAGCAAAGGAATCAGTAAGATCAAAGTCTCTGCCATAGAAATGAACCTTTGGTGTTTGAAATACAAATCGAAAATCAAGATATTTGCAAGTATTATGAAGGAGAAAGCAATAGAAAGTGAAGTTGAAGAGACCTATGGGTCAGGTAAGCCCTTTGGATTTCATTCCAAGGTCAACAGGACGGTGCAAAGTGATTTTGTGGGGCATGATTCCACTGCTATGTGGAGAATGGGTTATGGAGGAATGATCCAGCAGAAAACCGATGAAGGCTTAGAACCAGATAGCTCCCATTTGAGTGTCTCTCCATGGTCAAGAGGCTGTTCCTGGAGCCAACTAAAAAAAAGATGTGAAAGGACCCGAAGTATGGCTTGTCACTATCCCAAGCAGAGCAGAGGATAAAAACCGGCGTCGTGACAGGAGCAGGGAGTCAGGGAAAACAGAAGTAGGGAGACGGGAATCGGAGGCAGACAGCGAAAAAGCAGAACGCGGGGCGTCTAGAGGCCGGAGCTGGAGAGGCCAGTAGGTCTGCATAGAGGGAGCTGTGAAGGCGGGCCTGGGGACTGGAAGGACAGCGGTGAGAAGGCTGGGTGTCGAAAAGAGCGCGGGAGTCCAGAGGAGGGGCTAGAGCGGGGAGGCGGGGCCGGACCGAGGGGGTCGGTGGAAACACCTCCCTCTGGCTGTAGAGGGCGCCGCGCCTCGGCAGCCTTCCTGTGCTTCTCCGCCCCGCCTCCTCCAGTACCTCTACTCCCCACAACCCAGGAAGGCTGTGCAGGCTGCTTTCACTTTCCCTTCTCGGTCCCCACTCTCGTTCCTCGCGCGGCGTAAGGCCCCCTCTCTGACCATGGCCACGCTCAGAGTCCGGCCTGAAGCCCAAGCTAAGGTGAGCGCAGCGGGTTCAAGGAAGGCTCTTTTAGAGAGGCGTGGCTCGGAGAGGTTGAGGGCATCTCTGCCTAATCTCCAGCCCCCGACACGAGTGGCGGTCGGTCGATTGAGGCTACGCTCCCTGAGCACCTGAGCCCACGGGAGACCGGCCAGGCTTGATAGCGAGGCGAGCCGAGGCGAGGCGAAGCGGCCGTGGTCCAGTGGGGTGAGGTGAAGCAGAGAACTAGCGTGGAGGGGAAGTCTGCTGGCCCGATGCTGGGCCACACACAAAGTGCGTGTGTGCGAGCGTGCCACCTCCTGGTCTCATCAGAGCCACAAATCCCACTGGACAGGGTACTGAGTTCCTGCCCCCATCGCAGGGGGCTTTCAAACATGCCCTCTTCAGGGCTACCTGAGGAATCTGTACCCACCCTACTCAGACTGGAATGTTCACACCTCCCTAACCCAGTCCCTTCAAGGGATCCACTACACTCTCCCCACAGAGATCCACTCTTCCACCACCCCGATCCACCCTACCCTTCCCCAGGTTATCGGCCCTACACAATCCTAAAGGAACTGCCTGCAAATGCATTGGGCTTATAGCCAGGTTTCTGAAAGGTTGCCTGTGCCCCACAGGTGGATGTGTTCCGTGAAGATCTGTGTACTAAGGTAAGACTTACCCAGCAGCACACCCCACGCCACCACCCCACGCCCGCCCCCAGCTCTCACTGTATAGTCCTCTCGTGCTGGGCAGAATAGGCCTTGTTTCACTGGTTAGGAAGGGCATTTGATTCTGACTTTTACTTCCCCTACTCCCACCTCACATGTAGACAGAGACCCTGCTTGGGAGCTACTTCCCCAAGAAAATTTCTGAGTTGGATGCATTTTTAAAGGTACTGAGATGGGGCAAGGCACTGGAATAAAGGGCAAGAGGGGAGTCTGGGGGGCCATGAAAATGAGGAGTGAGACGGACACCCTGTCTCTATCCTTCCTCACACCCTACACCAGGAGCCAGCTCTCAATGAAGCCAATCTGAGCAATCTGAAGGCTCCGTTGGATATCCCAGTGCCTGATCCAGTCAAGGAGAAAGAGAAAGAGGAGCGGAAGAAACAGCAAGAGGCAAGCTGGGGAGAGCTCAGAAGGGGCTGGGGGAAATCAACCTTAGTTCTGACTCCCATGAGCCCCTCTTTCCCTGCAGAAGGAAGACAAGGATGAAAAGAAGAAAGGGGAAGATGAAGACAAAGGTATACAAAACCACGATGTGAGAGGGACTGGAGTCCCACTCCCCAAGAGCTTCTTCCTAAAGATCCCTCTTCCTTCACCATTCACTCAGGCCCAGTCATTTGACTGACACTTAACCCAATCCCCAGGTCCTCCCTGTGGCCCAGTGAACTGCAATGAGAAAATTGTCAGCCTCATGCAGCGCCTGAAACCTGAGATCAAAGATGTCATTGAACAGCTCAACCTGGTGAGCCCTCCCACTTCCACACCCAGGCTTCAAGTTGAACCCTTTGTCCTCCTAGGTCCCTGCCAGCTAGGTCATGACACCTGCCAGGTGTTTGCAGGAAAAGACACAGCAAGTAAAACCAGAAGACCTGCCATATCTCCCATCTTCATGGAAATTGGGTGGGGGTGGCTGCCACTTCTCCTTTGCATTCTTTTGTCCCAGGTAACTACCTGGTTGCAGCTGCAGATACCTCGGATTGAGGACGGGAACAACTTTGGAGTGGCTGTCCAGGTGAGAGTGCTGCCCCATGCCCCTGCCTTCTCTTCCAGTCCATACTTCCTTCTACTTTCCCCTCTTCCTTTCTTTCCCCAGGAAAAGGTGTTTGAACTGATGACCAGCCTTAACACCAAGCTGGAAGGCTTTCACACCCAGATATCCAAGTGAGTGACCACTTACCCACACCCACATGCACAATTTGCTTTTGGTTTGGGGACAGAGGCTGGGATTCCTGCGGTCTTTTCCCACTCCACACATTTTTAATTCCCACAGGTATTTCTCTGAGCGGGGCGATGCAGTGACCAAAGCAGCCAAGCAACCCCATGTGGTAGGTGGCCCAAGGTGGGGTGCATGGAGGGATGGACACACTTGAACAAAGCCAAGCTGATTCTCAAGTTTCCCTCAGGGTGATTATCGGCAGCTGGTGCATGAGCTGGATGAGGCAGAGTACCGAGACATCCGACTGATGGTCATGGAGATCCGAAACACTTATGTGAGGAGGCCAGGGCAGGGCAGGGGTGGGCAAAGGCAGCTTTGCCAGGTCACCCACTCCCTGATTCTGCAGGCTGAGGGTGAAGGGTGACAAAGTGTGGCTTCTGTGCAAAGCTGGAAATGGGGCACACAGCTGCTGGCACCTGCAGCTGACTCCCATTCTTCCTGGCTCTGTAGGCTGTGCTGTATGACATCATCCTGAAGAACTTTGAAAAGCTCAAGAAGCCCAGGGGAGAAACAAAGGGAATGATCTATTGAGGACCTCCACTCTCATTCTGTGAGGGGTAAAGCAGAGCCCTCTTGTTTTTTATCGTGGACTCCAGACTTCCCCACTTTTCTCTTACCTTGCCATCCAGGCACAATAAATATAGTCATACCTATGCCCATCAGCTCAAGTCTCTTTATTGGATCTTGGCCCCACTGCCCCTGGCTCAGGCATTTCCATTAGTGGGACCAATCCACTGGATGATTTGGGTGTTCAGCTGCTGGTTGGTCCAGTCCTGTCGGATGTCATCAAGGTGAGAGTCAAAGTCCACAAGGTGCTGGTGGGCCCGGCCCTCCAGCAATGCTCCTACCATCTGCCGCGATGCTTCCCAGTCCCTCCACATCACTCTGAAATAGTAATCCCCATGGAAGTCAAATAGTGAGTGGGTGGGGGCCAAACAGAACTTGGCAGAGCTTAGGTCTAGGGAAGGACCTTTGGGGCAAGATACAGGGAACCCAGGAGCCTCGGACTTCGAAGAAGTAGTGAAGTTAATGGGACACTCACAAGTTCTTATCTTTGGGGGCCCAGCGGGGACCATGGTTCTCCAGGACAATGACTGGGGGCACACGAGGTTGAGGCACCAGTTTCTGATTATCCAGCTGGATGGACAAGGACAAGTAGGTGAGTTCCAAGGATCCTACAGCCTACTTTCTCTCCAACTCCCCCCACTCCTGAATCTCAAGGCTCACCATGATGAGTACTGCATCAGGAAAGAATTCTGCAATTCGCCCAGCAATTTTCAATGCCAGGGACCCAGGGCTGTGTAGAGGAAAGATTGTTGTTGTTGTTATGTGCCGTGGAGTCGGAACCAACTCATAGCGACCCTGTACAGGGTTTCCGAGGGTGTAAATCTTTACGGGAGTAGAAAGCCTCATCTTTCTCCCGCGGAGCAGCTGGTAGTTTCGAACTGCTGACCTTGCGGTTTACAGCCCGATTCGTAACCACTATGCTACCAGAGCTCCTTAGAGGAAAGATTAGAGGAATAAAAAGTTGACGAGGCAGACCCCATTCACCTGAGCTGGGCCTCCTAGGTCTCTCATAGATGTGGGTGCAGCTGTGGCTCTTCCCTGGAACTGGGCCTGTGGGGGAAGGGGCCCAGCTCTGCTTGATGTACAACTACTTGATGCCTAAATGCTGTGGGAAACAGACACTTGTTGGCTGGTTGGTGAGAGTGGAACTCAAAACTGAACATGCATGTGCTGAGCAAGATATTCCACTATAAAGAATTTACTATAGTCATTGGATGTTGTCTATCATAGCAAAATATTGGAAACCACCTTACCGTTTAATGTAAATAAATATATTACAAAAAATAATTACACCAAATAAATTAGAGATATCCATATTCATGTAATATACATCTTGGTATAGAGATGAAAAGATGTCAGATATTTACTAAGGGAAGAGGGGGTAAATTACAGAACACTGTATATGCATGGAGTCCTGGTGTAGCGCTGTGGGCTAATGCATCAGACTGCAAAGTCATTTGAACTGCAAGGTCAGTGGTTCAAGCTCACCAGCTGTTCCTTGGAAACCCTATACAGGGTCATTGTGGGTCAGAATCAACTCAACGGCACTTAACAACACAACATAGTTGTTCCTTGGTATGGGGCATTGGTTCTAGGACCCCTAACCATACCAAAACTCATAGATGTTAAAGCCCTTTATATAAAATGGTGTAACATTTGCACAATCTATGTACATCTTCCTTTATACTTTAAATTATCTCGAGGATCTTTAATACCTAATACAATGTAAATGCTATGTAAATAGTGCATAATGCTCCCTCTTAGCTTTGCAGAATTGCTTTGACTACTAACTGCTTCTCCCACCCCTCCCTCACCCCAATGTTTTTCATTCCTGGATTCAGATCCCCAGATACAAAGGGCCTACACAGCACGTATAACTTGATCCTTTTATATGACAGTATACATGGAGCTCTTGTAGCACAGTGGATTACAAACTGGGTTGCTAACCCCAAGGCAAGCAGTTCAAATCTACCAGTCATTCTGCAAAAGAAAGATGGAACTTTCTACTCCCATAAAGATTTACAACTTTGCAAACCCTATACAGGAGTCCTGGAGTGGCACTGTGGGTTAATGTGCCAGACTGCAAAGCTGTTTGAACTGCAAGGTCAGTGGTTCAAGCTCACCAGCTGCTCCTCGGAAACCCCATACAGGATCGCTACGGGTTGGAACCAACTCGAAGGCACTTAACAACAACAAACACTATATAGAGTCGCTATGAGTAGGGACCAACTCCATGGCACACAACCATCACCATAATATATATATATATATATATATGTGTGTGTGTGTGTGTGTGTATATGTGTGTGTGTGTGTGTATGAATTCCTTTTTATTAAGTTGCTGATTGGGGCACTCAATTGAAGTGTCAGTCTGTTCTTGTTGATACACAATTGTCCTCCCTTTTCCCAAGCTTCTGAGACCCTGATCCTAAGTTTTGTGGAAGGAAACATAGAAGCAATGAACTTGGTTCTCCTGACACCTCCCCCCCCCACCTCAACTCTTTGCCTTCTGCTTCTTGGCTACCCCACTCACCTCTGGTCCGTCAGAGCTGCATTGGCATGGTAGTACCCAGCCACCACCAGACCGCCCTGTGCGCCCCACACATCCACCTGCCATGGGAAAAGGGCCGTCAGTAACTAAATCATGCTGCTGACCCTGTGGGTGCACACTATCATCAAGGAGCTAGGGAATGGGCTTGGACTAGGAGTTTTAGGGACAGTCGCATTAGTTGGTGGGCGTCCAGCGGCGGCACCTGGTTGAGGGCGACCTCCAGCATGACAGACAGGGCCAGGTGGCTGTGAAATAGGGGCACACAATCGGTGAGGCACAGACATTCACCAGACCGCTGCGACGGTGCCAGCAACAGCCCGTTGACAGCAGCGTGTGGGTACCGAGCGGCGTGCAGGCACATCTTCACATAGGCCCGGGCGGAAATCTCCACCTCCCTCATGGCGAGAGGGCCTGCCCAGGTACGGAAAAAAGCACGGTTACTGCCGGTCCCCAGCCACCCCGCCAAACCCCCAGTTTGAGACCGCACAGCTCCCTCCACATCTCAGTGCCCTCCTTAACTACCTACTGCCCCACCTACGTTCTCCCTCACTTAGGTTCGGCGATGAGGCTGATAAATCTCGAAGGCAGCCGGCAGGCTCCGGGGGACCTCAGCTCCGGTACCCACCCCTGGCCCGGCCTAAAATGAAATCCCGATTGCATTCTGCAGTGCTGAGCTCCGCCTTCCCCCGCCCCCAGCTGCAGACGCGGATCTCTGCGTCTCGCGGGGACCTAAACTGTTCCAAGCCGACTGCCTTCTGGAGTCCCGCCCCTGTGATGTTCTTTGATAGGCCTAGAGGTTCTCACTTTACCAATCAGCGGTCTTCTCCCCACCAACTGGAACGAGTTCATAATTGTTAACTAAGAATTGTCCGCATGCTTATTGGCTAAACTATGAGAACAAATCTGTTTTGGAAGTACTGCCAGAATGTTCCTTGGAAGTGATGGCGAGACTTCGTCTCAATAGCTTGGACATGTTATCAGGTAGGACGAGACCCTGGAGAACATTATACTTGGTAAAGGAATTATTAAGTGCCATCAAGTCTGTTCTGACTCAGAGTTCCTGTATAGTTTCCGAAGAGCGGCTGGTGGGTTTGAAACACAGACCTTGCAGTTCGCGGTCCAGTAATACTCAAGAAATGGATTGATACAGCGGCAACAACAATGGGTTCAAACATGGTAAAGTTTTGTGAGGATGGAGTAGGAATGGCAGTTTCATTCTGTTGTTCATAGGATCGCTGAGTAGGAACTAACTGATGACCTAACAAACCTGATTTCTGTTGATTGCAAAATGGTTTTGTCTTTTACCTTTGCTGCCCGCCCCCACAAGCCCAGTAAAACCAATCCGGTGTACCATGAAGCCAGCTCAAGGTTCCCCGAAGCAGCACTCATCATACGTGGGGATACGCAGCAGATCACCTTGATCCTCCTGTTTTTGGAATGAGCTGATCTGTACTCCAAATGGACTCTTGTCACTTAAGAGCTATTATCTTCGCGACTACAGGCTATCTGGTCCTTAATTTCCTTAATGTAATATCTGTTGCCCATGGTACTTTTAAGGATTAAATGAGTCGTGCTTTAAGGATTAACGAGCTCTGGTAGCCTAGTCAGGCTGCTGATCTCAAGGTCAGCACTTCAAAACTACCAGCGGTTCCATGGGGAAAAGATGAGGCTTTCTGCTCCCCTAAAGATTACGCCATGAGTCAGAACCGACTCCAGGACACATAACCATCACCATCACTTTAAGGATTAAATGAGATATATGGGGGACGAGGTTCCAAACTATCAAGTGTATAGATGCAACAGTAACCCATATTTTAAAAACCAGGTAAAGTCCTTGAATTACTGAACAATCCCATGGAGTTTATAGCAAAGACCAGAGTAGAGAAACCCTTGCCTCTACTATATGAACAGGGCCGAATCTTGAAAGGCAGAGATAAATACAATTAGCTAATGAATGGGGGAAAAAGCACCAAAAGAAAAACCCTACAGACCCATCCTTTCTATGGTAAAAATTCCTGTGGTGTAATTTCCTGTACCACAATGCCTTGGGAACATTTTCCCCAGTTCTAACGCTTAAGAAGGAGGGGTCCAGCCACTCATCCATAATTCTTCCAGTGAAACCTTGATCTTTCTTCCAGGCTTGCTATATTCTTTGATGAGACCAATTCCTTCCTTCATTCCCTGACCTCAGCCACAGGAACTTTCCCCTGTCTGTCCAAACCCTGATTATTCCTCTAAGGGTTTTGTCCAAATGTCACCTCTTTCATGAAGCATGGATGGAAATAATCTTGTGAAATTCCAGAAAGCAGGTAATCTGCATGGCTATTATGGCATGTAGCAGGTCTGTCCTGTTCTATAGGATGAGCATTTAATTCAAGTTCATCTTCCTGGTTCCTCTTCCCTCTATCATGTACATATACAGTGCTTAGACACAGGTGGCCCTCAGGAAGTGCTTTCTGAATGAATGACACACACCAGAAATAATCGACACTGAGTACAGGTCATTTATTCCCTTCTAGTCCTGGGTTCAGTACATAGATGGCTTCTCTTCACCCTTTGGATTGACAATTTTCTCCAGGTTGCTGCTGATGATATGATAAAGTTCAGCCTGGGGAGAAAGCCGGAGGGATAACAGTGAGGTTCTCACCCTTCCCCATTGCCCACCCCACCTGCCTCCCTTAAGAGCTTACTCTTCACTCACATAGAAGGTCCTCAGGTCCAGCACCATGGCCCTAAGATCCCTATAGGCCGCCTCATCTCGCTCATGCACCAGGGCCCGGTAATCCATCTGGGAAGTAGGAGGCAAAATTGAGTCAGTCCCGTAGAAGGTTGGCTTTCTCATACAGGGAATAGGTAACTTGAAGGTAACTCCCTTCTCAGCACCAAGAAAGAAGACCCCACAAGATCAAGCAGAGAAAAGGATCAAAGCATTTGAAGTCAAAATCAGCTCTTCTAGAGAATGTTTCTGGCTTACTGGTTTCTGCATTGGGACGATCATAAGCAAAACAAAGAGAACCACTGTCCCCTTCTCACCTCCAACCAGCCTCATCTAAAAGACTGAATGAAAATGGAACATCGACTCACCACATGGGTCTCCTTGGAGGCCTTGGCCACTGCGTCACCGCGTTCTGAGAAGTACCTGCCAATGCAAGGGAAGAAATCCTAGGATTGGACATTCATGGACCTTAGACCCTCCCCAAAGCCAAATGGGACTGGCCAGTCTTAAGACTCCCAAAGACATGTTCCTGTAACTCCCAGCTGTCCTCACTTGGAAATGGTTGTCTGGAAGGCTTCCACTTTGGTCTTGACTGCATTCACTCTCTCCAGCACTTTCTCCTGTTATGTCAAAAGATGTGGGAGACAGAGAAAACACCTCATTTCCTTACTCCTTCACCAAGCGTCTCTCTTTTCCCCTAACTCATGTCCAGATCCAGTCCCTCACTCTCCAAGACTCTCCCCACTCTCAGTGCCCTCACTCACCCTTATCTTACCTGGATTGCCACCCCAAAATCATTTCCATCCTCAATCTTGGGGATTAGATGCTGGATCCATGTGATCACCTATGTTAAGAAGTATCATGCTGAAACCCTTCAACAAACCTACTTCTACTTTCTAAAAAAAACAAAAACAAAAGCTCACTGCCATCAAGCCAATTCCAACTAATAGCTAGGGCTTCTGTGGCCGTAAACACTCATCTTTCTCCCTTGAAGTTCAAACTGCCAACCCTGTAGTTAGCAGTCCAGTGCTTATGCTACAGCTCTACCAGGGCTCCTTTACTTTCTAATAGCTTGACTTTCTAATTGTTGTTAACTACCATCAAGTTGGAGTCCTGGTGTGGCGCTGTAGGATAAACACAGACCAATAGGTCGGTTTGAACCATCAGGTTGACCGTTCAAACTCACCAGCTACTTTTTGGAAACACTATACTGGGTCACTATGAGTCAGAATCGACTGGATGGCACTTAACAACAACTGTCGAGTCAGTTCCAACTCATAGTGTCCCTGAGTATAGAGCTTCCAAGGAGTGGCTGATGGGTTTGAACCACCAACCTTTTGGTTAGCAGTTCAGTGCTTATCTTACAGCTATATTTAACTGAGTATTTACTATGTGCCAAATACTATGCTCTGTATTATTTACCTCAACCAATCCTCACAAAAGTCTTTCAAGATATACATTTACTACACCCACCTAAGGAGTCTTGATGTGGCACTGTAGGATAAGCACTGGACTGCTAATCACCCACTATCAGCCACTTCATGGGAGAAAGATGAGGCTTTCTGCTCTATAAAGATTTACAGCGACAGAAATCCTATACAGGGTCACTATTAGTTGTAACCAACTTAATGCACTAATACCACCAGCACCCACGTAACAGATCAGACAAGTGAGTCATAGAGAGTCTAACTGACTTACTCAAGGTAACCAGCTAGGTAAGTGATAATTAATCTGTCTCCCACTGTGGCCCAAGTGCTTAAACCATGCATTGTATAATACCACCTCCACTGTACACCTGGTACAGCAGTAGGTTCTGAGATTAGAGGAGGATACAGCACAGTCTGACTTGAGGGCATTATTTTGATACCAGAGGTCTAGCAGAATGAAAAGGAGAACAAAGGTCATCTAAATCCAAGGCCCTGAAAGAAGCTTTCTGGTTTTGGACTAGGTCCTAAAGGACCTGAGTCTCTGAAGGCGGTCAGGGTGTGGCCTTGCTTATCTTCTCTTTCCTCTTCCTCCAAATCCCAGACTTACCAGAATGCATTTCTCTTTTAGAGTCCAGACTTCGGGTTTAACTAGGGCAAGCAGGGCCAGCACCTTCTCATTTCCAGGGAGAAAGCCACATTTCGGGGCTGTGAGAAAGAAGAGATTCAGGCCTCTTCTCAACCAGCAGTCAATATGCCATTTCCCCTTCCCCAGCTATCCCCTACCCCCTTACCTTCTTTCTTCTCCTGCTTATCTGTTTCCATCTAAGGCAAAATGGAGAAAAATAACATTAGAAACATTATGGAAGTTGGAGGGCCACATCTTTATTGTGTTTATACTCCAAGCCCTGCATCACGAGTGCCTTACCTCATCATCCTTGGGTGGGGGGTCTGGGATAGGGATATCCAGCGGGGCCCGGAGGGACGTCAGGTCAGCTACATTGAAGGAGTCCTCCTGCACAGAGTTTACTATCAAGGGCTGCTCCCTGTCTTCCTAAGTGACAGCCTTCCCTCCACTCATCCCACCCATGCTTGCCTCCCAACCTAGGCTCATGCCTCACACCATCCTAATGCTCCTATCCACCACTCAGAACTGTTCTCTGGACGCTGAGCCCAGTCATTAGCTACAGAGGGGAAGACAGGTCATAGGATGCAGCATAAAGGGCCCACACTACTCACTTTCAAAAGCTGGTTCAGGTATACGATCTTCTGTGGCAAGAATCTGGAGAGGAATTCCTCAGCCTGTAGGTTACATGGCAAGGGAATTACAGAAGATGTTCAACAAGACTAAGAAGGGGAGCTGAAAGGGCCCTTGGAGATCATTGAATTTAAGACTTACAAATGAGGAAACGAAGCTCTGAAACGTAAAGGAAAGGGACTTGCCCAAGCTGGTAAGTGGCAGAACAACGGTGGTTGTTGTTACGTGCCGTGAAGTTGGTTCCGACTCATAGTGACCCTGTACAGGGTTTCTGAGGCTATAAATCTTTAAGGGAGCAGAAAGCCTCATCTTTCTCCCATGGAACAGCTGGTAGTTTCGAATTGCTGTGCTAAAGGTTAGGACTGTGGTATTCCAGCTTTGGGGCCATGGCTTTTCCCTCCACGACAAAAGAGGGGAGGAAAATTTGCAGAAGGAGAGTAGAGTTTTCAGAGGGGAGAGAGGTTAAAGGCAGAAGTCAATCATTGGGAGTTCACTCTGTGAAGGCTTCACACTGAAGTAGGCCTTTGTAGGGTGGGTTTGGGAGTCACTCTGAGAGGCTGTGACCGTGAAGTAAGTATTGGTCTAAGTTTATGAGTCGTATCTCTTGAGTCTAAAGAGACTTACCTCCTGGAAGAGATTTTGCCTGAAGACATCCACCTGGACAGAGAGCAGTACCCGGATATTGGTTAAGGGTCTGTTGCCAAGAGTAAGATCCCACCTCCCAACAGGGTGCCTTCCAAGTGTAACTCAGGCCTTTCCCACCAGCGGCCAGTTTTCCCTGGGAGTCCCTGGTTCACTGTAGCCTGGCCAAAAGGCAGGAATCTGAAACTCCCCACACAGAAGTGAAAGCAAGGAAAGCCCAGAGCTGGAGATTTCTGATGGCCTTGGTCCGCTGGAGCACCCAGCTTTGCCTCCATTCAGGTGGGCTCCCTGGTCCCTTCCTGGCCTTCCTGGTCCCCCTTTACCTGTTTACGGGCCTCCCCGCTCAGGCGCACCCCACAAGGCTTAGCCATGCTCCTACAGTAGTATGGTCTTTGGTCTCCGCCTGGGCTTTCGCTTTCACTCCCCAAGTCCAGCCCCGCCCCCTGGCAGACGGCAAACCGGAGGGAGCTCCTCAGCCATTCCCCGCCAGAAGAGGATAGGGAGGCGGTGCAGAAACCTGATATGTTCGAGGAGGGGCTTGGGCGAGTGAGACTGCGGAGGCTGGAACCTGGGCTGTCCCTCGGAGAGGGGTGGGGCTTGAAGCGAGGGGCAAGGGCGGTGCAGAAGCGAGAAGGGAGAATGAGAAAGGGGCTGTCCAGAGGTGGAGTTCCCCGAAAAAGGAGCGGCCGAGGGGAAGGGATGGAGAGGGGCCAGAGAAAGTGAGAAGGGTAATTGGAGGGAGGATCTGGGGCAGGGAAGGATTATAGAGATAGAAGGAGCTGGCGAAGGGCTTCCCCCTAGAAAACGCCTAGCCTTCAGGACAACGGGAGAGGTACGGGAGGGACTCGCTTGAGCCAGGCTAGGATCGGCCCTAGTCGGGTCCACGGCCGGGCAGGACTTCCTCGGTGAGGATCGGAGCGTGGATGACTGGTCCAAAAAGAGAAAGATGAAAGACTTGAGGGAAGCGGGCTAACCCCGCGCCACTGGCTATCCGGAAAGAGGCGGGACCAGTCTGGAAACAAGCAGAAGAAAAGCCCTTGAAGGGGTCTTTTTAAAAACCAAAAAACCTGAGACTTCTGGGGGCAGAGCTAAGAGTCATTTGCCCTTCTCATTGGTTGGGATCCTGATTCCTGCCCTGAACACGCTCCCTGATTTCCTGACCACCCCGTCTTTATCTTAAGCCCCTCCTCTTCCCCTGAAAACTGGTTGCAGTCCCACCCTCTTTCCTGTTACTTCCTGTTCCCGGGTAACCCTGTTCTGGGGCCGGAGACGTTGAGTGACCATAATCTGAGTGACTGACTAGGAGCCGCTGTGCGGATCTGAACCGGACGAAAAGCCGGGCACCAGGCGGGAGGGGCGGTGTTCTGCCCGAGCTCAGCTTGCGCCTGATCCCGGCAGGTGGCAGGGACTGGGCTGAGGATGCCGACCGAGGAGGAGCAGCGGGCCTTCCTGAAAGCGCGCGAGGAACTGGCGAGCGCTCTGAGGAGGGATTCCGGGCAGACGTTTTCCCTGGAGCAACTCTTGCCACTACTGACCATCTCCCTGCCGCCAGCTGCCCGTTACTTACAGCTGGATGCTGCACGCTTGGTCCGCTACAACGCCTTTGGGGAGGTAAGGTCCAGCCCGACTCGGGAGAAGACGTAGGACAGGGGCCAGGCTCACAGCTCTCTGCTCTCTGCCTGCTTCCAGCCACGCGACTACCTCAGTAACCTCTCCACGGCTCTGAACATCCTGGAGAAATATGGCCGCAACCTCCTCAGCCCTCAGAGGCCCCGGTACTGGCGCGGGGTCAAGTTTAATAACCCTGTCTTTCGCAGTACAGTGGACGCGGTGCAGGTGAAACCCCTGGGCCTTGTGGAAGATGGGGACTGACACTGCTGATGGGAAGGGGGCCAGCCCTATTGGGAGAGGGAATCTGCTGGGTAGTGACTGTGAACGTGTTGCAGGGGGGCCGGGATGTGCTGCGATTGTATGGCTACACTGAGGAGCAGCCAGATGGGCTGAGCTTCCCCGAAAAGCAGAAGGAGCCAGATGAGCACCAGGTTGCTACAGTCACACTGGAAGTACTGCTACTTCGGACAGAGCTCAGCCTGCTGTTCCAGGTATGGGTATTCTTTAGTCCTGAGGATTCAGGACTAAAGGGTTGGGAGGCAACCTAAAGGCTAAGCCAGTTGGGGGACCCCATGCTGCTAAATCATGGACCTATTCCCTAAAGCAACCTGTTAGCACCCTATACCATTCTTTCCCTCTGTAAATGTTGGGGAATTGGGCTCGGAGAAAGGCTTTGTTCAAGGGATCTAGGTGGAAACTCCTTTTATTTTGCAGAATACTCACCCAAGACAGCAGGCACTGGAGCAGCTGCTGAAAGCCAAGACTGAAGATGATGTAAGGAAGGAGGAAGTGGGCAGGCGTTGTGGACACTGTCCACAAACCCTTGCCCATTGTCTGCCACTCCTTCCTCAGATGCTGCAGCTTTCAGAGTTTACCCCCCTGCTGAGAGAGATTGCTCCTGGACCCCTCACCACACCCTCAGCCCCAGGTATTGATCTTGTAGGGTGGAAGGGGTAGTAGACTCAATTTCCAGGAATGGAAACCATCTTCTTGATAATCATTCTTTGTTGTTGTTTTTTTGTCTTCTTTAAACTTTTTGGTATGAATTAAGGTTTGCAGATCAGATCATTAGCTTTACATTCAACAAATCATATACTTTGTTTCAGCTCAGTGATTACATGAGTGATATGTAATGCAACAACAGTTATCTGGCTTCTTCCCTGTGATTCCTATTTGTATTCCACCCACCTTCCTATCCCTTTACAACTTTGTCCATAGGAAAATGTTGCTCTTTTGATTTTGAGTGATTGTCTATTTCGTGGTGAGCCTACTTTGCTAGTGTTGTCATCCTTCTCTATAAACCTATCTTGTCTGAAATTTGGGCCATGAGGGTAAGTTGCTTTCCAGACCTGAAGGGGGGTCGAGGAACATAGTCTCAGGTCCCTCTAATCTCTTTCTGACCAGTGAACCCTTTTTTTAAAAAAAATAATTTTGAGTTTTGCTCTACATTTTCTCCCACTTTATTCGGGACCCTCTAATGTGATCCTTTTCAGGGCTGTTTGTTATGGTGGCTGAGTACCAGATTCTTTGTTTCTTTTTAAAAAGAATTGTTTCCTTGGGCTCAGTATGTTGAAAAGTACACAGATGAATCAAAAAATTATCCACGCTAATACCTGTCCATGTCCACCACGTTGAACATGCATGTGAAATGATTCTGCCATATAGACAAGTGACAGTGGATTATGTGGCAAATTATTTGCAAGTCAACTATGGCTCTGCCTATAAAATAATCCACGACAGACTTGGGTTTTAAAACATTATTCAAGATGGGTACTAAAACAAATCATGGAAAAACATAAACAGAAGTGTTTAGACATCTACAAAGTTTGGACCGATACTCAAAGGAAAGTAAAAGTGTCTTTAAAAATAATCATTACAGGTGACAAGACACGGATTTATCACTACGAGACTGAGAGTAAACGGCACAGTATGAAATGGAAACATCCTCAATTGCCCACCAAGTTCAAAATTGATGCTTACTTACAGTTTTCTGGAATTCTCAAGGGCCAGTATTGGAACACTATCAGGAAAAATGTTAAACAATCAACAGTGCTCATTACAGTGAGATACTCACTGACCGCTGAAGCCTAAATTGCAGATTATATGCAGAGGATTATATCCAAGAATGTTGTGATCTTGCATGATAATGCACATCCATACACCCCTGTCTACACAGTTGACATTTCGTTTTAAGGTGTTAAAGCATCTTCCCTATAGTCTTGATCTTGCTGTATCAGACTTTTACCTGTTTGGTCGGTCCCCTGGAAGCAGCCCTTTGAGAACAAATAGCTCACAGCTCAGCCTAAAACATTTTTTAACTAAGGGAATATGAAAGCTTGTTGACAGATGGACAAAGTGTATTAAAAAGGCAAGAAGATTATGTCATAAAATGATGTATTTGTCTTTTTCTAAAAGTTGATTAAATTCTACAGCCAGAGTGCAGATAATTTTTGCCTTACCCTTGTAGTTTTGTGATTTGCCTAATCTTTATAGCAGATTCAGACTTAACCTGGCCTTTCTCAGAAATACGTTCTTTCTCTCCTGTTCTCTAGGTTCCACTCCGGATCCCTGCTTCCTCTGTGGTTCTGCCCCAGGCACACTGCACTGCCCAGCCTGTAAACAGACCTTATGTTCAGCTTGTGACTGTCTCTTCCATGGGCACCCATCTCGTGCGCATCACCTCCGGCAGAGTCTGCCTGGGACTCCCCAGACTACCAACCCAATCCCCAAGTGAGAGGCCTTTTTTTTCTGGTTGGGAGTGAAATTGAGTGAACTGTAGGTCATCTGACTACCATGTGCCTGCCAGCTTCTGTGCTAAAGACTGTATGATAGAAGACAAGTAGCCAGTCAGTGTCTTCAAGGTGGTTATATAGGCATCAAGCAAATAGCAGTGAGATAAGTTATTATGCTGTACAAACAGGTAGCAAGAGGATGCAGCCTAGATTGATGAAGGGTCTATTCAATCAGTCATCATTTTTTTAAGTAACTAGAATGGGTCAAGCATATGGAGGGATATCTACCACGAAGTGAGCTTTGTTGTTGTTATGTGTCATGGAATCGGTTTTGAAACCCTATACAGGGTTTCCGAGGCTATAAATCTTTATGGGAGCAGAAAGCCTCATCTGTCTCTCACAGAACAGCTGGTAGTTTCGAACTGCTGACCTTGCGGTTCGTAGCCCGATTCGTAACCACTACGCTACCAGAGATCCTTACCACGAAGAAGTGAGCTTTAGGCTGTCATTTAAACATTGAACAGGCTGTGGGTATGGACGTGTTCCAGGCAGAGAGGTGGGTTGGGTGTCCAGGAATGAAGAACCCAGCTCCCACCTTGGCAAGTCATGTTTGATTTTCTATTACAGCTTATCTGCTCTAGCCCCACCACTGCCCCAGTCAACCTCTTTGCTGGCCCTGGGAGATAGCACTCTTCCTTCCCCTGATTCTGCAAGTGCCCGTCTGCCCTGGCACTGTGCTGCCTGTACCATGCAAAATAAGCCGTGGGCAGTGCTCTGTGTGGCCTGTGATCGACCCCGAGGCTGTAAAGGGTTGGGGGTTGAAGACCCCCAAGGAGTTGGAAGCCCAGAACCTGAGCTTACACGGGGCCGGTGGACTTGCCAGAGCTGCACCTTTGAGAATGAGTCAGCAGCTGTACTATGCACTGTATGTGAGCGACCTCGGTTGGCCCAGCCTCCCAGCTTGGTGATGGATTCCCAGGACTCTGGCGTTTGCCTGCAGCCCCTTCAGGTAAAATATCCCTTGCCTTCCCTTCTTTGTATCTTTTACCTCAGACTATTCTTTACCTCCTCATCCTATTTTCCTTTAGCTGCTTTCATCTTCTCCCAGCTCCCGATATTTCCAGCCAGTCAGTGGGATGATTCTCTCTGTCTCTCTGTCTTCCCAGCAGGGGGAAACTTTGCTCTCCTCACCCCAAATTTGGTCCTGTATCCACTGTACCTTCTGCAACTCAGGCCCTGGGTGTGTGTGTGCTGTATGCAATCGGACTAGCAGTCGTATTCCAGCCCAGCATACTCCCAAGCCTCATGCCAACTCTTTGGAAGAGAGACACCCTGAACCTGGACCCTTACGACGCCTTAGTGCCCCACTGCCCAGCTCCTGTGGGGATCCTGAGAAGCAGCGCCAAGACAAGATGCGAGAAGAAGGACTCCAGCTAGTGAAGATGATCCGGGTGAGGGTTGGCCCTGGGATGAGGTGGGAAAGGAAGTGGCTGTGGTAAATAATAAGAGTTCTTATACTACTTGTCATTGCTGCTGCGTATTGAACACTTCCCTCGTTAGGTACCATACTGTGCATGGGTCACATGATCTATGTGTCTGAGCCCAGGCACTGTTGGCATTTGGGCTTGGGTCAGGGTGAAGGTTGCTTCTCCTGATGGGCCCTGTCTGGGTGGGCTGTGCTTTAGGAAGGGGAAGCTGCAGGTGCGTGTCCAGAGGAGGTCTTCTCGGCTCTGCAGTACTCAGGCACCGAGGTACCATTGCAATGGCTGCACTCAGAACTGCCCTACGTCCTGGAGATGGTGACTGAATTGGCTGGACAGCAAGACCCAGGACTGGGCGTCTTTTCCTGCCAGGAGGCCCGGAAAGCCTGGCTGGATCATCACGGCAACCTTGATGAAGCCGTGGAAGAGTGTGTGAGGGCCCGGCGGAGGAAGGTACCAGCTCTGCTGGAAATGGGACAGGGTTGAAAGTCATGGGTCTTGGCATCTATGACATTTTCCTTTGCTTGCTTTTCTCTCTGTACATCCTCTCCCAATTTGCAGGTGCAAGAGCTCCAGTCCTTGGGTTTTGGGCCTGAGGAAGGGTCTCTGCAGGCATTGTTTCAGCATGGGGGTGATGTGACACGGGCCCTGACTGAGCTACAGCGCCAGCGCCTTGAGCCCTTCCATCAGCGTCTATGGGACAATGGCCCTGAGCCCACTCCCTCTTGGGATGGCCCAGATAAGCAGGTGCTGGAAGGAAGGAAGGAGCCCAAGAACGTCACTACAGTGGCAGGGAGAAGCCCAAGGGGACAGACCCCTGAGGTCTGACAGCTGCTTCTCTACTTTTCTGCTTGCAATCACATTGCAGAGTCTGGTCAGACGGTTGTTAGCAGTCTACGCACTCCCCAGCTGGGGCCGGGCCGAGCTGGCGCTGTCGCTGTTGCAGGAGACGCCAAGGAACTATGAGTTGGGGGATGTAGTGGAAGCTGTGAGGCACAGCCATGACCGGGCCTTCCTGCGCCGCTTGCTGGCCCAGGAGTGCGCTGTGTGCAGCTGGGTCCTGCCTCGCAACCGGGTAATCCCTCATCACTGGTCATAGCCCCTCACCCCATGCCAACCCCCAGCCTCTAACCCTGCCTTCTGCTCTGTAATTGGCCCATGTACCCCTGAAGCCTTCTGGAAGGTGGGGAAGGGCAAGAAAAAACCCTCATTGTGTAATGATCTGCTATGGAAATGTGTATAATGAAATCCCTCCAGTCCCCTCCCTGCAATATATTCATCACCTAGCTTCAGCAATTACCAATTCATAGCCAGTTTTTATTGTGTCTACATATATAACCATACAACCACAGGATTATTCTGAAGCAAATCCCAGGCATCACATAATTTATTTATAAATATTTTAGTATGGGTCTCTAAAAGATAAATTGTTTAAAAGCATTGCCACATTATTATGGTCATACCAAGAAATGATTCATAGTAACCCTTAAGAATCATTAAATGGTTGGTGGGGCCAATTGCAGTCCTATTTAGTTAGGCAGACTTTGGTTTTTGTTTTGTGGGTTTTTGGTTTTTTTTTTTAAATAATTGTAGATTCACAGGAAATTCCCCAAACTAGTGCAGAGTCCCATTTATTTACTCTTCACCTAGCTTTTGCGGATAGTGGCATCTTACACAATCATAGTACAACAGCAAGACCAAGATGTTGATTTGGTACAGTGTTAAGATAGGTTGCAGAATTTGTTCAGTATTCATGCTAATGTGCGTATACTTGTGTGTATGTGTATTCTATGCAGTTGTATCCCATGTATAAACCATCACCACCACAATAAAGAGAGCAAACAGTTCTATCAACATAAGACCTCCCTCATGCTACCCCTTTATAGTTGTTACCCAGCCCACATCTTTGTTCCCCTGGCAACTACTTACCTGTTCTCCATCTCTGTAGTTTTATCATCTCAGGGATGTTATTTGCATGCTTGTTTTTAATCAAATGTGAATGCCTTTTAGAGCTAGGACTTGCAGTCTTCTGTCTACCGAAGGCTCATTGTTGTCTGTTCCTCCACACATTTAGGTTGTCTGCCTAGCACTTGTTAGCATTTGAGGTTACCAGCCTTGTCCAGTTGTTAGGCAGAGCCTGGTGTCTTCATCCTGCAGCCGTGGTTTCTGACCCTCTGTTTCCATCTTTTCCATCTAGATGCAGGCCCTGACTTCCTGTGAATGCACAATCTGTCCTGACTGCTTTCGCCAGCACTTCACCATCGCTTTGAAGGAGAAGCACATCACGGACATGGTGTGCCCTGCCTGTGGCCGCCCCGACCTCAGTGATGATACACAATTGCTCAGCTACTTCTCTACTCTTGACATCCAGGTACTGTAGCCCCTGGGACTCAGGATTCCGAGGTTGTACAGGAATCCTACCCACACACCACCCTTGCATCCTGTCCCCAGCTTCGGGAGAGTCTAGAGCCAGATGCGTATGCACTGTTCCACAAGAAGCTGACTGAGGGTGTGCTGATGCGAGATCCCAAGTTCTTGTGGTGTGCTCAGGTAAGTGTCCTGCCCAGGGTTGCTGCCTGTGGAGGAGATGGTATCAGTTAGGCCTCAGATACTTTTATGTTCTTGTACCCACAGTGCTCCTTTGGATTCATCTATGAGCGGGAACAGCTAGAGGCAACATGTCCCCAGTGTCACCAGACCTTCTGCGTGCGCTGCAAGCGTCAGGTGAGGGCATATTCATCTTTTCAGAAATACTTGCTGAGTTACTGTCAGGTACTGTGTTAGACTCTGGGGACTGAGTAGAGAATAAAATGGACAAGATCTCTGCACTCAGAGAGCAAACTGACTAGTCAGATAGACAAAAAAAAAAGGAAGAGAGGAAGAACAGAGGGGAGAAAAGAGGAAGAGTAGATAATTGTGCCTATAAATTCCATGAAGAAAATAAATAGGAATCAGGTAAAGAATAACAGAATGGACCTGCTTAGGATAAAGAGGTCAGACAAGTCTTCTGTAAAATGGTTTCATTTAACCTCAGGCCTGAAGGTTAAGAAGCAGCCAGTCGTGCAACGAGTATTTGGTACAGAAAGAACACTACATGGATAGTCTAAAAATATGGGTTGTGTGCTCGAACCTCCAGAGCAAGGGTGAGAGTGGCAAGAGATCCAAGAGGAGCTAGCTGCCAGGTCAGGAGAGGCCTTGGAGCCAAGTAAGGAAGGTGTTACTTTCATTCTAAGGCTGAGCGAGAGGTGGTGGTATCTCTTTTATTTTTAAAAGGCTTACTGTTCTTTCTGTACTCAAACAATTTGTCTACATTATAAAGCACAATAGTAAAATGAGCTCTGAAACTCTATCACTAACCCTTAAAACTAGAATATTGCTGGTATCACAGAATCTACTGATTTCATTTTTTACTTTTTATTGTGAGTTGAGTGAATGTGTACAGAGCAGATTGTCAGTTTTACATTCAACAAATCGGATACTTCGTTTCATCTCAGTTGCAGTCTTCTTAATGTAACATCACTTATCCCGCTTCATCCCTGTGTTTTTTATTTCCACTCCTCTTTTTCCCCACTCTTCTAAATTTTGTCCTTAGGAAAATGCTGCCCTTTTTATCTTAAATACTTGACCATTCTGGGCTGTGGGTCCCTCACTAGTGTGGTTGCTCCCTCTATAGAGCTATCTATTGCTTGGCTGAGAATTGATCCACGGGGTGAATTCCGTTCCAGACCTGAAAGGTGACCAACGGCCATAGTCTCAGGGTTCCTCCAGACTCTATCTGACCAGCAAGCCAGGTTTTTTTTTTTTTTTTTTTATGATTTTGAGTTTTGTTTCACATTTTATCCCTCTCTGTTGAGGACCTTCTGATGTGATCTCTTTCAGAGCAGTTAGTAGCCTCTAGTTATGCTCTCAGAGTCCTGGAGACTGATGTTTACATAGTCCATTAGTCTACTGGACTGATTGTTTCACTTTTCATGCCAATTTCATTTATAAAGAGCATTTTGACTGCAATGTGGGCAGTGGACTGTGGAGGAGTTGGAGTAGAGGCCAGGTGACCAGTAATCTAGGCAAGACCTGATGGTGTTCTGGGGCAGGATGGTAGCAGTAGGGATGAAGAAAATGGGGCAGTATTAGGATGGCTTTGAGTGGTAGAACATCGAGACTTGATGATGAATATGGGGTGTTTGAGGAGATGAAAGAATCCACTATTGGTCCTCAGTTTGGGAAGTGAATGGTAGTGACCACTGGATGTGAGTGGAGGGACCAGCATGAAGGACTGGGTTCTAGGATTGAGTTTCCATGTGAAGCCTGCTTCCCTTCTGGCAGTGGGAGGAGCAGCACCAAGGCCGGAGCTGTGAGGATTTCCAGAACTGGAAACGCACCAATGACCCAGAATACCAGGCCCAGGGCCTAGCCATGTATCTTCAGGAAAATGGAATTGGTAAGGCTGTTCTGCTTGGCCAGTTTGCTCAGTACCCTATCATTGCTTGCGACTCTCTTCTTGAGGGCTAGCGGAGCAGTGGCAGACCCCACTCAGACCTCCTGTCCCTTGCAGACTGCCCCAAGTGCAAGTTCTCATATGCACTGGCCCGAGGAGGCTGCATGCACTTTCATTGTACCCAGTGCCGACATCAGTTCTGCAGTGGCTGCTACAATGCCTTTTACGCCAAGAATGTGAGCCCAGGGCATGGAAGGGCTGGAAGTGGGGTGGAGGGCTGCAGTGCATTGGGTTTGCGGGGCAGAGGCAATTGAGGAATGGCTCAAGGGAAGAAAAGAGGAGATTAATAGAGTGTAAAGCACTCCTGTCCTCTTTTCCCTTGCTTGCCCTAGACTTTACAATGTCTCTATCTCCCCCAAAGTTCTAAACTTCCCCCTCTTCCATTTGGGTTTCCTCTAGAAATGTCCAGACCCTAACTGCCGAGTGAAGAAGTCCCTACATGGCCACCACCCTCGAGATTGCCTCTTCTACCTGCGGGACTGGACCGTTCTCCGGCTCCAGAAGCTGCTACAGGTCAGGGACAGCCAGCCTGCCTGGCTTTGCAGATTGTCCAGGAAAAGGAAGTAAGGCCCCGGGTGGGCTAGAAGGGAAAAGGCTAGCAAATCCAAGAGGGGCTGGCCTCAAGGGACCTAACATTCATGGGTTTCTCTGTTCCTTCTCAGGACAATAATGTCAAGTTTAATACAGAGCCTCCAGCTGGGGCCCGAGCAGTTCCTGGAGGTGAGTGCTGGCCACACCTTTGAGAAGGGGAGCTGGTATGCTGGGCTTCTACTGTGGCTAGCTTAAAGGGGAGGCTTGGGTTTGGGACCAGATCTGGCTTCAAGGCCTATTTTTTGCTCATTTGTTTTGTGCCCTTAGGCAAGTTAATTAATGTCCACAGACCGTCTGTCTTCCTCTATAAATGGAGGTAATAGCCACCTTTCATCTACACTACTTTATACAATACACTAAAGTACTTGGCATCCCTGAGGCCCTCACTGGAATTCTTGCCCATTCCCAAATGATAATGGTTTTCATTACCTATTTAATTAGGATTGAATGAAATCTGCTAGTTGCTGGGCGCTGCTTTAGGTTCTTTGAAGACCATAGAAAGGTGTTATATATGGTTCTAACCTATTCCACCCCTTATCATCTAGATAGAGGTGAGACCCTCACAGAGTAAGAGCTAAATAACAACCGGAAGAACTGTTTCAAGGGCTGTGTGATTATGGGTCAGAAGTCAGCCTGGATAAAAGCAGAGACCAGCTTCCCTGCTTCTGTATCACCCCACCACCACCAGCACCACGTTACGCTTGGTGTTCTCAGTCCTCACGCTGGAGGCCACTCACCCGTATCGCCATAGACCTCTCAATCCTGGGGCCTTGAGGTTATTGACCTCCTTCCAACAGAAGGTCCCTTTTCCTTACTCTTAGGTGGCTGCCGAGTGATGGAACAGAAAGAGGTTCCCAATGGGCTCAGGGATGAAGCCTGTGGCAAGGAGACCCCAGCTGGCCATGCCGGCCTCTGCCAGTGAGTGCCATGCAAGGCATAGAGTATGGTGCTGGCTCGAGGAGGGGGTAGAAGTGGTAGTAAAGAGGACTGTGGGTGCAGTAGGTTATGAAGGGAGTGGGAAGGAAGGGTTCTCTGGACAAGGGTGTGGAGAAATAACGTGCACAGGTGTGCAATCACTCAAAACTGCCATGGAAGTGGACTCTAACTCGTGATCCTATAGGCAGAGGAAAACTCCTCCTTAGGGTCTCCGAGACTGTAAATCTTTATGGGAACAATATCTTTTTCCTGTGGAGCAGCCAGTGGGTTCGAATCACCAAACTTGATGTTAATATCCCTCAGTGCCCAACCCACTGCACCACCATAGCTCCAGTAGGTATGCAGGGGTTATCTGTCTTATTCATCTGCGTAGCCCCATGTGTAGTAAAGTGCTTGTTGTTAGGTGCCATCGAGTCAATACCAACCCATAGCGACCCTATGCACAACAGAACGAAACACTGCCCGGTCCTGGGCTAACCTCACAATTGTTGCCACGCTTGAGTCTATTGATTCTGCCACTTTGCCAATCCATCTCGCTGGGGGTCTTCCTCTTTTTTTCTGACCCTCTACCTTACCAAACACGATATCTTTCTTCAGTGACTGGTCCCTCCTGACAATATGTCCAGTATGAGAGATGACATCTGGCCATCCTGACCTCCAAGGAGCAATATGACTGTTACCTTCCAACATAGATCTGTTTGTTCTCTCAGCAGCCCATGTACTTTCAGTATTCTCCTCCAACACCATAACTTAAATGCATCAGTTCTACAATCTTCTTATTCACTGTCCAACTTTAGCATGCATATGAGGTTATTGGAAATTGTGTCAGGTGTTCCTTAGTTGTCAAATTGACATCTTCAACACTTTAAAAAGTAAAGTGCTAGACACACTCAGTAAATATTAGCCCAATTACAGAAAAAATATTTTGTCTCAATATTTTTCCAGGGCACACTACAAAGAATATCTTGTGAGCCTCATCAATGCCCACTCACTGGACCCAGCTACCTTGTATGAAGTGGAGGAGCTGGAGACAGCCACTGAGCGCTACCTGCACATGCGCCCCCAGCTGTTGGCTGGAGAGGATGCCCCTACCTACCATGCCCGCTTGTTACAGGTAAAGTGTCCACTCAGCCTCACCCTGACTCCGCCCTCCAGCCTGTGTCTGAGCATAGGCTGCCAGTGTTATCATTTTCTCTCTCCTGCAGAAGCTGACTGAAGAGGTGCCTCTGGGCCAGAGTATCCCCCGAAGGAGGAAGTAGCTGAGGGCAGTGGCCCTGATAGGGTCCCAGCTCCCTCAGGAACAGCTCCAGCACCAATAAAGAGGCATCTACTGGCCCAGGCTTCTTGGTGATCCTTCTTCCTGTCCCCACCATCTAGGGGCACCAGAGAAACAGGGGGGTGAACAGAACTTTGCTGGAGAGTCTCCATGCAGCCTCCCACCAGACATTTCCTGGACCCAGGGCCAGGAAGGAATTGCCATTATGGATAGGCATGGGAGACCTTTCGCATCCAGCCACCTGGCCTGGGCTTCCTCCCTTCCTGCTCCCCTCTTTTTTCCATCAAATTCACCTGATCTTTGAGCTCATCTAGTATGTACTAGGCAACACTGTGGGCAAACACAGATGTACAGACTCCAGCAGCCCAGAGACCCCAAGCCAGCAAAAGGGGTCAGGGCCCCAAGCAGTGACCATCTGAGGGAGGAAGTGGGATAAACCAGGCAGGGCTGTACCTACTTCTGATCCTGGTGTGGTGCTATAGGATAAGCAGTGGATCATCGAGCTCACCAGCTGCTCCTTGGAAACCCTATACAGGGGCACTATGAGTCAATCGACTTGAGGGCACTAAACATTGTCCAGGGGAGGAGGTCCTGCTGCTGCTAGTCAGGTTCTGGGATGCTGCTTCCCCCTTGTGGCAGTTGGCTGCCCTGCAACTCAGAGACCACGTGATTTCTGGGAAAAGGACCTCACCAGATGAGAACTGAAACTTAGGGTGGGACTGTAGGAAGGGGCAGAGAGATTACTTAACCGCCCAGCTGGGAGCTGAGCTGAGGGCTGCGGAGTGTTGGGACAGCCTGCGCAGCCACTTCAGGTAAGACCAGCCAGCATTGGGTCTCAGCTTGGGGTCTGGGGCTGGAAGCCCGGCCAGGTTGGAGGTCGGGGCATCAGGGCACCTCTGCTAGGCTGAGGAATAGACATGAGACTATTTATATAAGCCATACATAGATATACCTATGAGCTAGGAAGTAAGAGATTGGGCCTGAGGAGAGAGATTGATCAGGGGCCAGCACTCCAAGTCCTGTTGGCAAAGCATCAGAGGACCTACGGCAGGATTATTCTGAGCGGAAGGCTCTGTTGACCCTGTTTTGTTTTTCTTGCCTTCTGGCCCTGCCCATTTCTGCTGCAGCTCCGCCCCTGACACCCTGCTACTCTTAGGGCAATCAAAGAAGGGGGATCAAAGGTTGTGGGAGGTGTGGGTAAAGAGTTGATAAGACATCTCAAAAGCAGTTACTTCCTGTGCTACTTTTGGGGCATGTTGATGGCGCCCCTCAGAAGGATCACAACACTGAGAGAATTTTCTTTTTTCCCAGATAAGGTCCTGAAAAATCTTCAAATTGAAACCAATACGTAAGATTTCCTTCTAGATGTCATAGCTTAGGAATGTATATTTTGTCATTGTTAGTGGTGGCAGAAAACAAAACATTTCTGCTTTAGAAGATGCATAGATTGTGATGGAGCCTCAAGGAGCCCTCTGCAGAATTGGGTCCCAGTAGTCAGGATCTTGGCAGCTGTTCCCTCTCAGAATATCAGTTCTGCTGATGCTTCCTGCCCATTTTGTTCTCCAGAATGGCATCAGGCAGGGCACGCTGTACCCGAAAGCTCCGGAACTGGGTGGTGGAGCAGGTGGAGAGTGAAAAGTTCCCAGGAGTACGCTGGTATGATAAGGCCAAGACCATGTTCCAGATTCCCTGGAAGCATGCAGGCAAACAGGACTTCCGGGAGGACCAGGATGCTGCCTTCTTCAAGGTGAGAGGGCCTAGGAACCATCCCTCTGAGTGAGAGCTGGAGTATACACTAGTTTGCTCTTGCCCATAAGGAGTTGTGTATGCCCAGGTTTCAGATGGAGGGCAGAACCAACTATATAATTGGCCCAGTACTCAATAAAAATGCAGAGCTCTTCTTACTCAAAAAACACCAAGAATTTCAAGATGAAAATAGGAGACTATAAGCGTGCACAAGCCCTTCTAAAAGTGGAACCCTGTGCAAGTGTACAGGTTGCATGCTCTGTTAGAGGGTCACCTGGAGCTGCCTCTTCTTTACTTCCCTCTCTTTCCTAGGCCTGGGCAATATTCAAGGGAAAGTACAAGGAGGGAGATGCAGAAGGCCCTGCCACATGGAAAACTCGCCTGCGCTGTGCCCTCAACAAGAGTCCCGAATTTGAGGAAGTTCCTGAGAATGGCCACATGGATGGGGCTGAGCCCTACAAGGTGTATCGGTTGCTGCCACCAGGAACCCTCCCTGGTAAGCCCTTTGTGCAACCCTTCCTAAATCATCAGACTGGGGAGGAAGGATGGAGCTTGGACCCTCTTGGGAGAATCCTGGGCTCAACTGCAGGCCTTTCACTCACTCTGCCTTATCACTTCCCTTAGAAGGCTGCTCCCTAGACTCCTTTTCCCAGTCCTGCACATCCTTCCCCTACCAAATACTCTCTCCTACCCCTATGCTCTGTTCTTGCTTAAGGTTCTAACTCCTCTCCCACCTCCACATTGTTCCACAGCCCAGACAGGCACCCAGAAATCATCATTAAAACGACACCACAGTGCCTTGTCCTCAGAGAGGAAGGAGGATGAGGGTACGCTGAAGAAGTGTGCACTCAGCCCCTTATTGCTCCCGGATCCCTGTAAGAATGTAAGAGCTGGACTAGGGGACTGGGTGGGTCTGAAAGCAGGACAGTAACTGGATGAAAAGGTGAGCTAATCATAGGCACCTGTATCCACAGGAGACAGGAGACAATGGGACATCAGACCAGTCAGACACTGGAAACAGCAGCAGCAGTAACAGCCCTAAGCCTCAAGAAGGTACCTCTTCTGCCTCCTGGGTCCTCCCCAGTGTCCAACAATGCTACAATCTCTGGCTCTTGGACCTTCAGTCCCTCTCTGAATGACCAGTGCCTTTGCCTCCCTTCCAGGCACAGACACAACTGAAGCTCTCCTTGAAGGGGATCAGGTATCCCTGGAATTTCTGCTCCCTCCAGACTCAGGTACTTAGAGATTCTGACTCATCTCTGCTCTCTGTTCCCCTCAGGTTCCCTTCCTCTGGTTCTACCTGCATTTTCTAATCTGGTAGAGATTATAGCCAACTAGACTCACCTTACCATAAGTTGTTGTTAAGTGCCATTGAGTCAGTTCCAACTCATAGCAACCCTGTGTAGGTTTCCGAGGAACAACTGGTGGGCTTGAACTGCTAACCTTGTGGTTCCAATTGACCTTGCAGTTCAGTGCATTCTCCTGCAGGGCCACACCAGGACTCCTTACCATAGGTAGGGACACTGATTTCTAAGGCAGTGAGAATTCCTGGAGCTGTTTAGCCAGCTTGCTCACCAAACTCTGTTCCCTGCAGCTCCACTCTGAGGCATTCCTTTCTTTGGGTTAAACAGAGGCCCAATCTCTTGAGCACATCTTCTAAATGGCAAGATCCTAGGCATTAAGCTCACAAGGCCTCAGTGCAAATTGATTTATTAGCTGTCACCTAACAAAGAAGAAAACCTGACAAGAAGCCCCCTGACTGATGAGGGGGAGGTGGGAGTAAAGATGAGGAAGGAAGGGTACTTTTTCTAATCTCAGCAGGTGCAGCTGTGGCCCTAGCCCCACTGCCCGCTTTGTCCTCCCCAGATTTGGCTTGGCGTCCCTCTCTGGTCCTCAGTTCCTCATCAATAAAATGAGGAGCTTCATTTCAATTCCCCAAAGGCAGGTGTACCCTTGGGGACCAGGGAGAGGCACTACTGCTGGCTCACGAGCTACCCAGCACCAGGTTTAGCTGAGTCATTCTCTGTCCCTAGACTACTCACTGCTGCTCACCTTCATCTACAACGGGAGTGTGGTTAGGGAGACCCAGGTACATGGACTGGACTGCCGCCTTGTGGCCGAGCCCTTGATCTCCCAAAGCAACATGGAACAAGTGATTTTTCCCAAGCCTGACCCACTGGAACCCACACAGCGTCTGTTAAGCCAGCTCAAGAGAGGTGTCATGGTGGCCAGCAACCACCAAGGTCTCTTTGTGCAACGTCTCTGCCCCATCCCCATCTCATGGGATGCACCCCAGGCCCCACCTGGTCCAGGCCCACATCTCCTGCCCAGCAACGAGTGCGTGGAGCTCTTCAGAACAGCTTCCTTCTGCAGAGGTGAGGTTGAGCCAACAGAGCACCTGAGTCCCTACTACCCACCTCTAGGTTCCCCTTGAGCCCACCTTGGTGGGCCCTACCATACCCTGTCAGGTGGTAGGTCCTGTCTCCCAGTCTGTGCATTGCACCCCTGGACTTGTGCACACACTTCCTGTGTAACCACTCAGGCTACCTGGTGACTCTCCATCCCCGGTCAAGGCCATGGGGGATAAGGTTCAGGTTGAGCCTTGTACAAGAGTATCTCAGGAAGCATCATTATATTGAGGCTAACATCACTTTTAAGTGAAATGCACAGACAACTCAGTAGAGTTTGGGGGCACCCTGAACTTCTCCTGCATGCACACTGCCACACAACCATTCACATATGTGGGAGACGTGGTCCTGGTACCACCCTGTCCCCACCTCCAGGAATCCCCAAAGGCCATTCTCTCACCCACCCATTCTTGGAATTCCAGTCCCCACCTTCACTCCACTCTACATCAGACCATAGTGGTGGAGTTGAGAGAATAGGGTCCACAGAGCATGGGTGTTCCCAGGGTCGTGTGTAAATTAGCATTGGGAATGGGAGTAGGTGGTCAGCAGCAGCAAAGATGTAGGCACATCTGGCTTAGCTGTCACCTATAAGGACTCTCAACTTTGCTAGGAACTGCTTTGCAAGTTGTGTAATAATCTGCTAACTCTAAACATGCTGAGAGTTACTTTGAGCACTGGGCACCTTGTTCTGTTTGCATGTCAGAAAGTAACTGCTTGGTGCCTAGTGTGTCTCCTGACCCCGCAGCTCTTGCTGTGCTGTTAGTCTCCAAGTGGCCCCACTCCCACCTCTCACAATCATGGTGTCCTCACTACCTCCTCCCTGCCTGTTGCCCTTTCTCTTCTTCTCTCTTTTCTTTCTCCCAACCCCTGACCCTTTCTCTTTCAGACTTGGCCAGGTACTCCCAGGGCCTGGGCCCACTACCCAAATTCCAGGTAACCCTGAATTTCTGGGAGGAGAGTCCTGGCCCTAATGATACCCCACAGAATCTTATTACAGTACAGGTGAGTGCAGGGTAGGGTGCACTAGCCTGTCTACAACCTGAGATGGGAGAGGGTTTCCAGAAGGAGAAGTGGCTTCTGGGGGAAAGGAGCTCTTGGAGGCAGAACCTGCCCTGCTGTTGTCACTGATGGCCTCTTCCCACTCTCTTCCTGTACAGATGGAGCAGGCCTTTGCCCGACATTTATTGGAACAGACTCTAGAGGAGCAGGCAGCCACTCTGCCCCTGATGCAGAGCCTGGAGGACCCTGTTGCCTCATCTGTTCTTTACCTCTCTCCTTTAAATGAAGCCATTCTCCACACTAGTAACCTGCCTTCCCCTGTGCTAATTCTCAGTGATGCTCTGTGATGGTTACATCCTTGAACTCTTCATGAACCCTGGATGATGGTGGGAAACTCAAAGATGCTTTTACCAACAACAACAACCTTCTTCTTTACTTTTTTTTTTTTTTTTTTCAATTTTGAGATTATACCATCTTTCATCTCTAAAGAACTGAGGAAATGGGGGGAAAAGCCAAATGACTGAAACTCAGGAGACCACTCCCTTTCTTCCTACACCCCAACGCTAAAGTCAAGCACTTTATATTTGCTTTCTAGATTTGTCATTAAACATTTTAAACAAACTTTTCTTGAAAGAGGATCAGATTTGCTGAATGAAGAAGGCAACCTGGTCAAAGGTAGATGACACAGATGTAAATTTGGGAGCTGGACATCTGGGTTCTCTTGCTGCTTACGTCTCCAGACCTCTTTGTTCTCCTCTGCCCATGACTTCTGGCTGGGCTCTGGGGCTTTTGAGCCTGGCTCTTTGGGCCTTCTGGACAATCAGAATCAGGAAGGGCTGGGGTCAGTCACTAAGAGGGGCACCGAGACTACAACTGGATATTCCTGCTACGTACTTCACAGAGGAAAATTTGCACCCCACTGTTTGGTGGCTCAAACACAGCAGCCGATTGGTGGAAAAAAAATAAGGCTGCCTGCCTCCATAAAGATTTGCAGTTTTAGAAACCTTAATGAGCACACAGGAGCTCTGGTAGCGTAGTGGTTACGAATCGAGCTGCAAACCACAAGGTCAGCAGTTCAAAACTACCAGCTGTTCCACAGGAGAAAGATAAGGCTTTCTGCTCCCGTAAAACTTTATAGTCTCAGAAACCCTGTACAGGGTCACTATGAGTCGGAACTGACTCCACGGCGCACAGCCCCCAAGGCGCAGTACTACTCTGTCCCATGGGGTCTCTATGAGTTGGAATCAACTCAGTGGCAGTGGGGTGGGAGGACTTTTGGTTAGGCACTTAATGACAGGCCAGCAGTTGGACTAGAATTCTAAATGAAAAGAAGACAGACTTAAGGTTGGTCTAAAACTGGGTTAAAGGCCCTGAGGTCTGGGAAGGGGAGGGAAGTAAGAGGGAAGAGTTGCTTTCCTGTATCTGACTGCATCCATGCAGACAGATGGGACACTGAATGCCTCCTCCCAGCATGAGTGGACTGTACCTTTTACTGAAGATGAGATTGTTCTCTGTAACTGAATCCCATAAAGACCACCTAATCTAGGCTATGTCACCAACCTCTGTTCACTGAAATTTGAGGGGCCCAAGTCAGGTGACACTCCTCTCTTTTATCTTTTTTTGTCAGTCACCAAATTGGTAATTCTTCCTTCACAAGACTACTTGTCACCCAACTTCTCTGGACACTTATTTCCACCAGACAAGTTCAGACCCAGCTCACCTCCAGGTATCCCCTCTTCTTGCTCATGACACTAGGAGTCTTGGCATTCCAGACTCCTTCCTGTCTTGTCACTTGTTTTGACACCTTCAGTGGCTGTGATTGTTAAGGATTGGTGTCACCTTGACTGGGCCAGGATTCTCAGTGGTTGGTAGTTGAGATGTAGTCATCCCCCTTGATGAGATCTAATATAATGTAATCACTTCTATGACGAGCTCTTCTATGAGCAGCCAATCACCTTAATCAGTTGAAGTTTCCTCAGGGTTGTGACCTGCCTTATACTTAGTATACTGGCTACTCAGGCAAAGTTTGCTGTTTTCTGTGTGGGCTGGGTCCTGCATGTGGCTCATCATCCAACCTCCAGTTCTTCGGACTTGAGCCAGTAGCTTGCTCTGTTGCCTGCCAATCCTGGTAATCATCAGCAGTCTGCCATCTTACCTGCCTGCCTGCCTGCCATCTGACTTGTCAATTGTGGGTCAGCAGCCCCATGAATACGTGAGTCAGAAGCCTCCAACCTGACATCTGACCCCCAGACTTGGGACTTGTTTACTTATACAACAGTGTGAACCATTTCCATAATATAAACTCACTGGTTTTGTTTCTCTAGAGAACCCAGCCTAAATCAAGTGGCTCATCTTCATGTTCAAACCCAAATGCCTTAAAGTCTTCAAGGCTCTTCCTCTTGCTCTCATATTTGACCAACTGAATGTTCCCTCTCTACCACCACTCATCTGTTATTGTGCCATACTGTTGTGGCCTGCATGTTGCTGTGATGTTGGAAGATAAGTTACTGATATTTTAAATACCAGCAAGGTCACAAATGGTTCAGCTGAGCTTCCAGAATAAGACAGACTAGGAGGAAGGAGAGACAGGCTACTTCTGAAAGTTTAGTCACTAGAAACCTTATTGAATAGTAGCATAACATTGTCAGATATAGTGCCAGAAGATGAG